TTTTGTAAATGATACAATTTAATAATATTAACATTATTATATATTTGCAAAATTTGGCGGCACACTTTTGAAATTTGACGGCAGACAAAAGTGCCGCGGCACAGTGGTTGAGAATCACTGCTCTAGTTTGTATACGAATTTGTGAAAGGTCGATTTCGGGTTAATTTTAAGTTTAGCTTTAAAACGAGGTAGGGGTCACAGCAAACCGATGGTATTACACACGTTTAATAAATATAAAACGTCATCTGTACGTACGAAAAGCCGACTCGCGACTGATATAGAATAAAGAATAAAGAATTATAATTGAATTTCCAGCAGATTTAAGCATCCTTTATTAGGCTTGAGCGTCGACTTGTGCTTGTCAGCTGACCTGACGTTGCGAGCTCAAATTAGGACCGTTGTGTGTCCAGCTAGTTTATATATTTATTCCTATAAACTTTATTGTCCCACCGTAGGCTTAGGGCTACGATGGGCGGAATTAACGCCCAATGGCATTCTCTACCAGTCAGCCCTTGTTTATGGCACGGCAAAAGTTGCGCAAATCCCCTCGCCATTAGGGTCGCAATCGTTTCCTAGTGCCGTCCGCTCCGCCCCGCTTCGCGGCTGGCCGTCGAGTGCCGTGCCACTTTCACTCTCAACGGCCCACATCCCACCGTGGCCAACCCGAGTGGAGCTTGCATCATCGCGCTTACATCACAGTATATTATCGTACCGCAAGCGCATTCGACATTGCAAGGACGGACCGGTGGACGAAAGAAACGCGCGGCGCGTCTGGCTGATGCGGTGGCCTAGTGACCGCGCGTTTGCTGGCGTCCAGTTTTATGGAAAACGGCGACGACTCGCTTTTTTTTTATGTGAGAAATTGGCAAACGAGCTGGCGGTTCACCTGATGTTAACTGATAATCGCCTGCCCATGGACATTTGGAACACCCGTAGGGTTGCAGATGCGTTGCCACCTCTTAATAATGTGGACCCCGGCTACCTCACTCACCAGACGAAACACAGAAGTGCACTTCTACTTTACGTCGGACTTCTGTGAGGTCGCGGTACTAACCCGGACGGACCTGCCCATTCGTGCAACAGCGAAGACAGTAGACACAGTTGATGGCCCTACCACCATAAAACTTGCTCGCTTGCGCATTTGCTTGTCGCAGGTTCGATTCTCGCACGGGACCAGTACTATGTCGTCACCCGAAAAAGACGTGTGACATTTTTTTTCCAAAAATTAGTTATTTTATTTACATATTGCGTTTTCTGTACTGATTCCGATTATGTAAGTAACTCGTTTTTGGAAAAAAATTCATTTACGTCTTTTTTCAGTATGACCGCAGCACTTGTGTGACCCACAGATAATTACTTGTTCCGGATCTGGGTGCTCATTCCCATGGAGAGTTGACGTTAGGTAGGCAGCCGTACGTATAAAGCCTTGTCAATACAATCAACATGATTCAAATGTTGAGCCGCCTTAGGTGGGAATTTATTCCAAAGGTCAAACGAAAGAAAAAGTAGACAAAGTCTTTGTTTTATCAATCTTGACTACTATCGCACCTGCAGGTGTTGCCGTATAAAGTAAACGCACTGACTTCGCAAAACTTATTATTCCTATTCGCTCTCGCCTCAAAGACTTCCGATACAGTCCACTTAAAAATTATTATTAGTATATAGTATTATGTCCTGTTTCGCGTTTATGGAGTAGTCGCGGTAAAGTCTATCTGTAAAAAAAAATTGCTTATCCGTCAATATACATACAAAGTTGTTATAGCGGTACGTTTTGATGATGGACATGAAAGATGGGGTTCATAAGCCTGGTAACAAAACCATTACTAATTGTGATTGCTAAATGTGATTAACCCGGTAAATAGATCAAAGGGATTTGACGGCAGACAAGTCGGACCAGGAATAAAAAAACTTCATTGAAAACGAAAAAAATTTCTTGATTTTTTTAATAAAACAACAATTAGTTTTATGGTTTACTATAATTGCTTTTCAATAGTCAACGTACAGAGTACCTACTTGTTATTAATGAACTAGCTGGCCCGGAAAACGTTGTATTGCCATATAAATTATCTCTAAAGGAATCGGAACGCACGCATAAAGTGTTTGACAGGTTACACAGAGACATTGTTGACAGGTTGGCTTTGTAAGGGAAAATAAGTAGCTATTTCGATTTTCAATGCAATTTTTAACTTCTCATGGTTTAAACCTTCCCTGGACTGCAACAAATATTTCAAAAGTAAATTAGCCAAATGTTCCATGTGGTTATTACGTCTTGAAGCGATAGATTTAGGTGCAAACACTCTTCCAAAAGCAGTTCGATTACTTCATAATTTAAATAATCCGTTGAAATTTTTGCCCAGCTGAGTGCGCGGTATTACTTTAACCAATTTCGCAATTAACACTTTATTGCCCGTTAAAAGCAGATCGAAGAGAAACAAAGCGCTGCGTATAGCCACTGGCGGCATAACGCTGTGTAGTAACTTAATTAAAAATTAGTAGGTTATCGAGCTGTTTATGTGTTACGTAAAAATTAATGCAACACACGACTTTAACAACGCGCTCGGACATTCGTGTTTCCATATAAAATATAAACGGCCAAGTGCGAGTCAGACCCGCGCACGAAGGGTTCCGTACCATTATCGGAAAATCAAAAACGATAAAAAATCGTGTCTGTTATATGAGAGCCCCTTAATTTTTTTTAAATTTTATTCTGTTTTTTTAGTGTTTGTTGTTATAGCGGTAAAAATTCTAACTGTACTAATTATCACGGTTCTCCAGGCTATCATGAAATATAGCCTGGATAGGTGACAGACAGACAGCGGAAACTAAGTAATAAGGTCACGGTTTTACCCTTTGGGTGCGGTACCCTAAAAATGTATATCGCGATTTCCGTACGTTCCAGATACTTTATCTATTCAAATTTATTTGTAATTATCAGTATATTAACATGATATTGCATAATCCCTATACAGTATGTAAATAAGAGTTGTAATTTGTGGTAATGTGGATAGTAATAGGTATTAGGTCTACTTATCGCTGGGTCAAGAGTCTTCCAGAAGAACCGTTTTCTCTTCCTTTTGTTCGTTTGTTCCGTCTATTTAAGATTGCGGATTGGTTTAATAGGACGGACGTAGACATTAATCGTGTGGGATGATGCATATCAATGGGGTGTACATGTAACTGTTTTCAAATAACCGAGAACCTTTGCAAATTCACACCGAACCGTTAACGGGGCTCAAAGTATTGGCATCAGAGCAGGAATTGAAAATCTCAATCTCCCTTTTAATTTTTACTCAAATCCGTTTAATTTTTCCGTTTAAATTCCACACGAAAAGAGTCACAGAACAGAGAAAAGAGAACAGTCATACAAAAGTTTTAAACTAAATTATAACGTTAACTTTTGATTTTGTTTTTAATTACTAGCGAAGACAAAATATGAATAATATTTCTTTTAAATATTTTTTAAATAAAGTAATCGTTTCATAGGTATGATGATAGTTTATTTTTTTCTTAAAAACAATCTTAAATATTTAACATATAAAACATTAGTAAACAAAATCACCAATAACACATTAACGGCGGAACAATCAATCTGTCGTCGATATTTCACGATGTCTTTGCATTTTCATAACTTTATGGGTGACTCAACAGACGATAAGATCAATTTTGCCAAATCACTTAGAAGATAACGGAAAAAGAAAGATGATTTGACGATTTGTACTGCAGACCAACTACCTAGTAGAGTCGAATTTTGTTCTAAGCTTCACGACTTTTCTAACATTAATCAGTGTCTTGCATTGATGCCCGATGTACGGTGACAGACTTATCACCTATCTGACTCATCGACATTAAAAACCTCGTTTTTATGGTTCCGTACCCAAAGGGTAAAATGGCAACCTATTACTAAGACTCCGCTGTCTGTCTGTCTGTGTCTGTCTGTCCATCTGTCATCAGGCTGTATCTCATGAACCGTGATAGTTAGTTGAAATTTTCACAGATGATGTATTTCTGTTGCCATAGGCCACAACAAATATTAAACAACAGAATTAATAAAAATTAAGTGGGGCTCCCATACAACACACGTGCTTTTTGTCGCTTTTATAGACTGTATATATAATTGTACGGATCCCTTCGCGCGCGGGTCCTACTCGCACTTGGCCGGTTCTAAGCTCAGTGGGTGTTTCGCCTTCGGACACAGACAGAACACAACACAAGACGCGTAATGGCTTAGATCATACTTGTTATATTTGGTGTGGAATAAAGACTTTGTCGTACTGGAAAATAAAAATCGTTCTATAACAGAATATTTCAGTTTATATAGCGAGTCCCTGAGTGCTTTGCGTAAAGTTGTATGCATCACTTAAACTAATTCCGTGTAAATCTACCGATTATTGAAACTACTTTTGCTGTTATATAGATGCCAATCCAATTAGCTTACGACCGGTAAGCTATAAGTACTTACTGATGTCAAGCGCTAAGCTCGATTACGTTAAACTTAACAAAAATTATTTCAATAAATATGTTCGCTTGCAATCGAAACGCATTGACAAAGAAACCAAACGTATATCACATTTTTGTTTTAGGATTTTCGTTGTTAAATGTAAAATATTCTAAGTTGCAACCCCGGGATAGGAAAGTAACACAAAAATGTAATTAACTGCTTCACGTTTAGGGTTACACGAAACGAACTAAAATGAAAGATTTAAATAAATGTTTTCATTGATAATTCTGTTTTTTTTTTGTTTATTATGCGTTTAAAATGGTTTATTATGGTTTAAACTTATACGTTTAATATATAACTATTATCAATTCAATTAAATACTATACCCAACCAGAAGAATCACAATTGAATACTGAAAAGTAATATTTCTTTAAAGTAGTATAAAAATGGTTACTGTAACGTCAGGGCCATATTAGTTCAAACCGTCTTTTCACTAGTATTTTTAGTCAAGAACCAAACGGACACGGCGGGAGACCTAGTATAGGGATAGAGCGGGACTTACTTGTATTGTTAAGTGCCGCATCGTCACGGGTAGCCACCGTCAAACCCATGGCTGGTCGCGAGCAAGCCTCATCACTGCAACAACATTTAAAAAACTTACATAACCAAACCACGAGGACCTTCCGAGCTTTTAACAGACCCTGAGGACATGACATACATACTCTCAGGAGTTGTGGCCCTGTGGTTAGAGGTGGCGGTTCTAATTTTGGGGTCAAAATATCGAAACTCTGTAGTTCTTTGTGCTCCGGACGTGCAAAGATATGTATAGTGTAGGGCAGCATTTTGCATACGCACACCGAGATAGGTGCATGCTTTTGTGTCTTGCTTTTGTGTCCCTCAACTGTAGACAAGACTGTCTAGTCCTTAACACTAAGAATAGAGATTTACATATCGGCCCTGCAGATAAACTACAGCTATGACAAAACAAACTCCTCTCAAATCGTGATCACTACACGAGAGCCATCGCGCACCGCTGCCCCCAATTAATGGGCGCACCTCACCCAGTTAGCTCTTTAATTGTACCAACGCATACGTGCCACGGGGCTATCCATCAGTTCGCTTTCTAGCTCGCTCCGTTGATCACATCGATGTATTGCGTCTCTGTTCCTCACAATGGACATGAAGCGCGGGCCGATCTAGGCTGATAGACCCCACAGTGCGAATGAGATTGCCAGTTGATATTCAATCAATAAATAAAGCAATTCACCCGATGTTAAGTGATAGCTGCCGCCCATGGACGTTTGCAACACCCGTAGAATTGCAGATTGCGTTGCCACCTTTGAATAAAGTGGGCCCCGGCTACCTCTCCAGACGAGACCCAGAAGTATAACACTTCCACTTCAAGCCGGTCTTCTATGAGGTCGTGGTAGTATCCCGGACGGACCTGCCCATTCGTGCAACAGCGAATTTTTGCGTGGCCCTACCAGTTAAAAACTTCAGTGGAATTCTCCTCGACAACCTTTCGTCCGCCTCACCTCGCGATTAAGTTTTATCGAACCTTCGAGAATGAAGGTACTTTTAGTAGGGTCGTGATATCCCTTGTCGAACATCATCCACGCCTGTGTACTTCACTGGAACCGCTCGTCTCGGTGACCTTTATAACGCCCTACGACGAACTTTCGAGAATTTGACGATGAGTAGAGTCGTGTATAACATTTTTTTGTGTTTACATCGGGGAAATGTGTGTCAAAAACAATCACACCATGAGTACGACAAATACTCTGTAGCATGCAGTGACTAACTATAATTGAGATTACGTGTAAATTGTTGCCATAAAATTTGTGACCATTTAGCTCTGTGTACACGTAATTTTGTCGGTGATCCAAAATAAATAAATAAATAAAAATGCCTCCGCATATCCGACCTCGCGGGGGCAAGAGAGGGTTATGTCGGACTCGCACCGACGGAGCACCCCAGCGATGTTCGCTTTCGCACACCTCCGCGATCCTGCCAGCGCTGGCCGTCTCAGCGGCCCCCTGCCGGGTAGGAGTGGTGCCTTACCTCAGGAGCCGTTCCCTGTAGCAGACCACGGTCCGGCGCTCGTCGCCGACGCCGACTGAGAAGCTGGCGAGCTCGGGCCTGCCCAGCTCACCCACGCAGCGGTGGATCAGGAACCGCCGGTAGTTGCTCACCGGCGGGAACACTAGCACGCTGCCGGACAAAGCGGTGACTTATGCCCGGTTCCTATATTCGTCGAACGGCCGTTAGTTGCCTATTGCAATCGTTATGAAAGTTACGAAGCTATGTGACTAGCGGCCGTTCGATGAATATAGGAACCGGGCATTAATCGAGACGACCAATCACGCGATGACAATGAATCGATCGTAATTTTAACACAGTTATCAATGGTTACGGAGTCACCGTATCGCGGTTGCCAAGGTCTTGGCATCGTTGCCGTGGGTCGTGGTTTCGTTTCCGACTCCGAATGTGACCCACAAATAATTCTTTCGGGTCAGGGTGTCCGTCCGCGGAAATTGGATAATTGGATGTATGTACAAAACGTCCTTCCTCACAACACAGGATGGGCGATGTTTTATAACAAACTAGCGACCCGCTCCGGCTTCACACGGGTGCCATGTATTATACATATAACCCTTCCTCTTGAATCGTTGTTAATGTTTTATAAGAAAAAATGACTCTATATTTAATTTCGTATTCAGGCCGAATCGGCTCTAGAATAGTCTAAGGTTGCTGCAAGATTAACTAAATAAAACTATTTTGACTTTGAAAATTGCGCGTGTTGTCTCGCCCTATGACGCGATACGATCACACAGAAATGCCAGCACGCCAATATTGGTAGCGTGATGTGGTGACAGAAGCATATATGCTTCTTCTTCCCACAAACCTTCGAGGCGGCCCATCATACCAGGTAGAAATCACCATCGTTTCAGAATTTATATGGCTAAGAATGAACATTGGTCTGTTTTAAAACCATGCGCTGTACTACGCTAAAGAATAAAACTAAAACTCTACGAGAGCGAAATGGCCCTTCGTTTACCAGCTGTAACAAAATCTAGCGTTTAGAATAACGTTAGCATTTACGCGAGTTCTATGATCTATGCGAGGTTAATATCTCTATGACTGAAAGCGGCATAGACTTACGCTGGTATGAGTGTGACATTTCCAACTTCATGAAATAAGTGGCAGAATAGTAGGCAGTTCATCACAACGACCTTCAAGACAGCGTGTCCATGTTTGACGAAACTTAACATAACTAGCGTTTCGCCTTTCCAGTCCACACTCGAAACGCTTGCGTAAATATATGTAAATTTTTAGCGTCGGTGCAACTAGCCCCTGATACTTAGCCAGAAGGGCTGGGCTTCGGACTTCATGCATCAAGAGCATCTGTCCCCGTCCGAGAACAGGTCCCGGATCGTTAGTACGACGTGGGTAGTGGCAAGTGTAAAGCCAAAGCGTTCCGTTCCTACTAAGATCGTCGTTGGTACGTGTACGTGACGTTGGTACCGTGGTAAGTGTCAAGCCAAAGCGACCCCCTTCCTGAGGAACGAAAGAGCACTACTTCGACGTTCGGTAAGAAATTAAGAATGACGTATATGCGTACATGCGTATTTGATCGTCCGCTAATCCGCAATGAGGCCGCGTGGTGTACTATGCCCTAATACCCTCTGTACAGAGGCATTTCCGCAGTAGTGGGACAGGTATAGGATGTTACTTTACTTTTAAATTTATGATTTAAATAATTTTCATTATTGTATAAAGCCCAACGCTAATTTAGTGCGTGAGCTCCGCATAGAGAAATTCTTTTCCTGAGAGTATACACATAGTATGGACTAAATTAAGGAAAAATTTTATCTCTAAAAACTAATCCTGACAGTATTAAGTCATGGATTAAGGTTAAATGAAACTATTTTACGAAATTTAAAATCACACTAAAATACGATAAAATATAAAAGAAGTTAATTCAAAAATTTTAATTGACGTAAATCTGACAACTGGCGTATTCGGATCATAATAAAAACAGAGGTTAACGATCTGGAGTGGCAGGTGACGTAGTTTTTTCTTATGTTCATGATTTGCTATTAGCATCCAAGGTGCCGTAGCGTTTCGCTCCATTTGATCACATCCTACGTCCGGTAAGCGGTCGACATTATAACCTTGAAACTATACAAGAATATATTACGATATCATGCACGCTTTAACACGCTTTCTACGCAATTGGACAATAAAAATTTATTTCGCCTGCCAGGAATCCAGTAATATAATGAATATTGTTTACCTGTCAACTTTTTTCTCTGATATAAAACATTTCAGGTCGTCGTTGACATCTTCGACAAAGCTGTTGTCCGCGTAGTTCAAAAATCTCTCTACTTTTTTGGCACCCAGTTTGACGACGAAAAGCTAATTTCTAATAAAAAATAAATATATTTTTAGTTCACGTGTAGACGGGAAAACTATCGGCAGACCATTTTCATTTTTCAGCACGGACGGCACCCACCACCTGCATAACACCGCGACGCACACATAAACAAACTATGCCACAGATATAATAACTGTCAGACTAGTGATGACCAATCATACATATATATACGAAAATACCGGTAAAAAAATTATATTTTTTTAATAAACAGTTTCCACAATATTTACATGATATCTTATATTTTAGTAATTTAGAAATAAATTTATTTAAAAATATTCATAAAAACATTTATTTGTTTCATCACTACATAGAATAAAACAGTCATCCCGCTGTCTGCCTGTCCTTATGTATGCTTAGATCTTTAAAACTACGCAATGGACCAACGGATCTTGATGCGATTTTTTTCACTACATAAGAGTTAATCAAGAGGAAGGTTTATATGTATAAAACATTGCACTCGTGTTCAAAAGAGACATATAGTTATTCCAAAGGCTCTTTTATTAATGTCAAATATTTATTTAGTAGTTAGAATATTGTAGAAAACTGTAGACGACTTGCGAACACGGGAGAAACAAATAATGTAGCTGGTGCATGGCGAGGACACGAAGCAAGCTTCTTGCGCGTTTTAATATACCTTCGGTCATAGGTCGACATAATCTTAGATCGAGGGGGTGCGGGATAGATTCATAATGGAATGGATATTTCTTTTGATGATTGATTTAGTATCATATCGACATACCTTTAAAGGTAAACAGATTCGCTAATAATCTGGGTTTTATTAAGTTTAGGATCCTCGACGTACATAGTGCTAGCTCGATTTGAAGTCCAAGGGATGTCGCTAGTGTATAGTGAATACAGGACCGGATATTACTTTTTTTTTATATATATTTTTACATTGCCCTCACTTTAGGATAACATTATCCTGTGTTGTAATGACGTTTTTACAAACATAAATTTCACGTGGACAAACACCCAGATGCGAAAAAACTATCTGTGGGTCGCGGTCAAATAGTTGTCCCGTGTGGGAACCGAACCCACGACCCCCGACGCCGCAGCCAATACCTTGGCAACTGCGCCACGGAGTCATCGTAGGATAACCGATCTATAGAAGATTTGGAAAACCCTATTCCTAAAATCTCGAGTGTAAACAGAATAAATACATATGATTACTAATTCGGTATTAAAATATACAAACATGCCGAATTTGTAGTCTAACAAAGTTAATAAGTTCTTTTATGTTAGTGTACACACAACATCATTTCTAAAAACAATATTAATGATTTTGTTAGTAAGTCAACTTACTAACAAAATCATTAATATTGTTTTTAAGACTTATTTAAAAATCTAGAAGATGGGGATTTGATGAAAAAAAAAATAAAGCCAGTCAGTGGTCAAATAATATATTTTACATATTTAATTCTTAAATAAATTTTACGTAAGCATACTTTATGCATCATTAAATTAAACTATAATGAAATTAACTAATCTTTAGTTTAAAATTTCAATTATACAAAAATATAATGCAGTGGAGCAAATTAATATCCGACTCAATTATTAATTAGTTAACAAAATGATCTAGTAAAACAAAATTAACAAAATGTCTAAATGAACAAAAAAAAAAAATAAGTTCATTCGGAATTAAAGAATGTGGGTATGTGTACCCTGCATTTGCTGTTAGAAGTTATACTTTGTGACCTTACATTTACTTACTTTCGAATAAAAAGAAAATGCTAATTACACAAAATAAGACTAATGATACGGTAATAGTTTACATTGCATAGTAGTTAATACATTTGTTTACAAAGTGTAATTTATTATTTATGGTCAGCAAAGAGAAGTATAACTTTTAACAATTTCTTTGGCCATCATTGCATAGAACTGATGTACCTTCACCCACACATCTTGAAATTATTTTTTAAAACAATATATATTCTTCAGTTATAACAAGGGATTATTTTCTAAAAGTATAAAACTTCTTAGTTCACTTCTGGTGAAAATTCACTATTAATATAAAATGGTATTTCTGATTAGGGCATTCAATACCCTATTATTAATGTCATAATGCGATTTTATTCAACTAAATTATTTTTAACATGCATATAAATATGTATTTCTCCATATCCCTAAGAGAATAATTAACTGCTATTTATTGAATGTTGTTAATTTATTGAAGTTGCTAATTTATTGAAAGCATGACTACATTTAATGTCTCATTCAGCATTCAAATGCATGTATAATATTTTGTACCCATCTAATTTGACATTTTCTCCAACCTATGGCACCAGATTGAAATATTCTTGTTTTTTTTAAATTCAATTAATTATTAAAAGCTTTAAGTTGCAATTCACTTGTTTACAGTGCAGCTGATAAACCAATAACAGCCTGATTAAGTCGTAAAATCGCATTACAACGTGTCATTAACATACCTAGTGCTAATTTACAGATCTATCTTAGGCCTATACTGCAATCGCAGCGGAGGGTCTCGGAACCGCCAACGAGTGACGTATACAAATTTTAACGTATGGTCCTTGCCTAGTAATTCGTCATTGCACAATATATCAATCTGAAAAAAAAAAGACAAATTGGTTTAAGGTGAAAAGTATTGAATATTGTATATATTTATTTAGTTATGATATATTGACATAATGGGACACAATAGACAATTACATTTCTCAAGACAGTTGTGACAGTATTTAATATAACAAGATCTTTAGCTAAATTTAAAGCCATTATAAACTGTTGTCCTGTAATATTGTGCTGAAATACTAACTTTTTTAATTTATTTTATATGAAAAAGTATATATACACTAACTTATTGTTTTGTCCTTTGCTCAGGTAACTCAACTGGATATGTGTAATTGTCTACCAACCGTATGAGAGTCAATATTACCGACTAATTATATTACTTACTCTTTGTTTTATTCAAGACACAGACATTGGCAGAATCATCAATTTATGTATTGATGGAGCCATAAAACTAAAATTGGATTGGATTGGAAAGCCATTATACATATAAAGTAAAATATAACTAAAGTATAGACAGATACAAAGACCTTTTATTCATTAGAAAAGTATAAAAAACCAATTTTATTTTATGCTCAAATCCAGCGTTTCATGAGGTTTAATAAGGTTAGGTTTAATGGGGTGAAATTTTGATTTCTTATAAGAGCCATGCTTGCAAAGCCGCGGGCAACAGCTAGTTATCAATATAACATGGTGACTAATATCTGGGAGGTAAATTAAATGCAGTATACTTAGAAGATAACAAAATATACAACTGTCATTGATAAACAGATCAGTCTTTCACGTTAGAAAAAAAAAAGTAACTGCCACTGCTGGGCAAAGGCCTACTCTGTACTAAGGGTATCAAGGCATATACCACTGCGGATTGGCGGATTCCACATAATTATCATCGAAATATTTTTTTATTATTTCGAAAATATGCAGGTTTCCTCACAATGTTTCACTGTTTCACCTTCACTGCTGTGAGCAATTAAAATTAACAATTTCATTGGTGCAGGCACTGGGTATCAAACAGGTTGCAGTAAATTGAATTAAAGGCAAAGGCCCGGACACTGAGCTGTCACAGCTCTTTATTGTCACTCATGTAACAGTTTATAGATATTGGAACGGCTAAAAGCAGCGTGCAGCAGTTATATCCTCTTTCAACCTTTCTCTTTAAATGAGTTTTTATATTATTTTATTTTATATTTTATAGGATACTGTCACAAAAATAGTTACTAGGCATTTGGTTTTGTGAACATACATTTTTTTTATATATGAAAATTAATAGTTCACTGCTTAATATTACATGCGGAAATGTGAGCGAATCAAGGCGTATTTAAACTTTGTGCGGGCTTTAGATACTCACTTCTCTATATTTCTCCATGCCATTTAAAACTTTTTTAGCTACAAATTTCTTAAGATGCGTTATCGTTGCTTGCGCAGAGCACCTTATAAAACTACGCTTCAGTGTACGCAGTGACGTTGATATGCACTCCAAACAAACATTAACCTGGAAATTGGAACACTAATATTACTTAGTGCACTATCAATTTTTTTTTACAAATATTAAATATACTTTATCTCAATAATTATGACTACAATAGATCTTCTAAGTCGAAGTGGTTGGGTTAGTTCCCAAATCATTGAGATATGATTTGTGTCTAAGTGGTTGGGTTACTTACTACCCACCCACTTAGACACAAATCATATCTCAATGATTTGGGAAGTACTTGGATCACTATGTCTTGTGGGAAGAAATTTATATCAGCAAAAGTATAACTGGACTAAATATAAACATTCCAATAGCCCAGAGTACAGGGTAAAACGCTAGACTCCTTGTCAGGATTCATATATGAGTTGACAAAACGAAATTATGTAAATTTTCTATCCTGTTTGTGAAACTCCAAAAGAATCTCTTTCTTTGACTAAAGTATGACTGTCATCTATAGTAACTAGTTATTATTTTTTTTAATTATAAAAATTACCCCTACTGTAGGAAAAAATTATCCTGCTTTGTAATGACATTTTACTAACATAAATTTCACATGGACAAACACTCAGATCCGAAACAATTATCTGTGGGTTCACACAAATAGTTGTGTCATGTGAGAATCAAGAAGCCAATACATAACCGTGCCACAGAGTCATCCAAAGAAGATAAGAAATAATATCATTACAGAAGTAAAGGATACTTACGACCATTTCAATATCCAAATTACAGATAGTTTTGGTTACTGAAGATAAAATTTTGAGGTGAGTATTATAGAAGTCAAATACCTGTTGCTAGTAACAAAATCTATCTGTAGCTAGAATATTAAAACCTGCGGTTAGTGAGATAACTAATGGTTAAGTTATGAGGTTAATATAAGTTATTAAACTATACTTAAGAAAGGTATAACCGACCTGTTCATCTTTTCTATGACAGTCTGTATTGTCTGGCTGTTCAGGTTCATCTCCTGCTCCTGGTTTGTCAGCAGCGAGGGCTGCATCCTTCGGACATGGTAATCCTCTCGCTCTGTAGAAATCCCTCTCTCGTTTTATTTCATCTATAAATATGTGAGAAACATATGTTAAAAGGATTTTAAATATCATGCATAAAAGTAAGAACAAAAGATTAAAGGACTATGGTAATCTTCTATATAAAATTTTGTTGAAGAATTTTTTTTGTCTAAATAAAAAAAAAACAAAAACATAGAATTTAAAGTTCTGAATATATCATACATGCAAATAATTATTGAAGTAAGTTTGGAATTAAAAATATTATAAGAAATGCAAATCCATATTATTATTATAACTCAATTCTTCACACCAAAATTTGTAATTTTGAAATCTATAGAACTATTTCTCACATGAAATGTATTCTCCAAATATATTAAAACATTATTGTATATTGGTATGGTAACAAAAATTCTATGGAGTTTATTAACCAAGCCTATATATTCCAAATAGAACTCATTTAACAGCCTATATGTAATTCTTTAATTGATGTTTCAAAAATAGAATATTTATAAATATTTAGTATAATTTGAAAAAACTTAAGAATGTAATGAAAATTAATAATAAAAGTTATTTTAGCATGCAAATTAGCTTGTAGTAAAATTACTTCACTCACTGTCTTGTAAATCCGGCACTAGTTTATAAACAATATCTTGCATTGTCCTATCAAAACTTATGTACTGTAGAGGGTGAGATTGGTGGATTACAATGTTGCATGTTGGACATGTGTTGTTCTCCTCCAAATGCTTCACCAGGCAGCTCTTGCAGACTGGGGAGTAAATAAGGATACTTCAAACCATCAAATGACGAAGATGTTGTCTTATATATATATATATATAAAGTTGTTGACTTATTAAAATGAGCAATATTATGGATAGAATTACATATAATTTCTTATAGTTTATAATAAATATATGAATGAAATAGCCTATTATTATATACCATAAAACAAATAATATTTGTAAGTATTATAAAAACTGAATTTTATAATTAATACAGTAAAGTGTGTTTAGGTTAGAAAAAATTAGGAACTTTGCTTAACACATTACCATTTTAACTCACAAAATTTATTTCATAGTATTTCATTTTATACCCTAGAAATAGCTTCCTCAAATGGTATCCTGTTAAAGAGCATATGATATATTTACTATACTTCAATTCTATACAATATTATTATATACATGTTTGAATCTCATACCTGTCTCATTTAAAATATCTTACTGAATATAACAATCACATTTATGAATATGAATGAAATTGAGCATGAACGGCCCTAATTGCCGACGCATTGCATGAAATAACTCGATTACACAAATTTTACTAACCAAACGGAAAAACAACAAAGTAGATAACAGTCGGTGTATTAATAAAAACTTTGAAGAACTTGAACTTTTAGTTGATCTGTCATTCGATTCTTTATGTACAAACATATATAATTATTTTATATGGCCCTTTAAAACTTAATAGAAAATACTAACACGTATGAAGACACTCGGTGACCGTAGTTGCATCGATGAAGTATCCACGGCAAATTTTACAAGTAATGTGACTATTGAGTGTTTTTAACTTTATCCTCCTTTCCATGGTCATCCTAGTATAATTAATTTTCTAACATTATGTGTTAAGAACTTAAAAATAAGATAAAACAAAAAAACTAGAACGAAAACTGCTAACAAATGCCAATGCCACAATCACAATCAGAAAACTTCAATCACTTCAATAGCAACAGATAAAATATTAAGCTTCATTCAATATGAAAAGTAAAGGGAACGTCAAAATAAGAAAGTGTTAAATTATTTTTTTTGGAAGTGTAGTACGCTGTTAGCTAGGTAATCGTTGACATCATCGAAATAGGTCCTTAGGTAAATGAATCATAGATTCAAGAGAGAACAATGGAGCTGGTGCACAGGTGCACGAAGAAGATATGGTAACGCCATCAGCTACGCGGCAACTCTGCGAAATCTGCAGAAGAGAGATGGAAAATTAGCCAAAAAGTTCACAACACGATGTGAGGACCCTTATAAATCTCGTGACGGTCCAATTGCTCTTGGACCACGATAGTGGGACCTGTCTAGAAACTAATTAGGTCCACATTAATAAAAACAATAAGTTTATGAAAATAAATATATAAATAACGACTTCATTAACTCAAAAGCGGTTGGGCAAACGCGGATATCGTTTCAGTATATATATGTCTTATCTATGGATATCGTGTGTAGGGTGTAATGCTGTAAATCGGGGATTTTACGTGCGCCGGTGAACGAGCTGTGCCAAATGTAGATTTGAAGGTAAATGCGGTGTGCCATTCGATGCATGGTGGCGCAATGTCGGTAATGCCTCGGGGGGCTGCAGATGCGTTGTTGTCTCTATCGTGGATGGAGAATTAATTGTTCAATACACGCAACTCATCGTCGATACCATCTAAAACATTTATAGCACGGCACTATTTCGGATTTAAAGTCAAAGGAGGTACGGAATAAATAGTGAAAGCTTTTCCAGCAGGTATATAAACAATTTATTACTTTAAAATATCATATCGACGTTACTTTAAACAAGCTATAGAAAATACCTACTGATTTAAAGATAGATTTAGGTTTAAAGAATTCAAAACTTTAAAAAAAAATGCTTTACAAATTACAACATACTATACATAATTTATTTTAACCTCTGGAGCATTGTGGAAGACAAAAGCGGATCGCGATGGAACTCAGTGTCCCGCATGAACCACTGGGTGCCAGTTGCATAACGAATGAATTACATATATATTTTCCAGAGATGAACTAGGAACATAGGAGGATAGGAGCTGCTGCAATTAGTACAAAATAAGTTCATCCGCCGTGCAACCGGTGTGCAGTGGTATCAACGCAACGTCGATCTGCACAGCGATTGCAGACTCCCGACGATTCGCGAATATTTTAAAGACCTGACCAAACGGTTCTTCGACAGAGCCGAACATCATCCCAACCCTCTGGTGGTAAGCGCAGCAAATTACTAACCCGACACAAACGCGAACGTCAACAAGCGTCGCCCGCAAAACGTTCTAATCGACCCGGTCGGAGACTTAGATACGCCGGACCCACCGCCGGGGGTCCCGCCGGATAACACTACACCGTTAGTGTAACAACAAATACAATAGTTCGCCCTCGCCTCCGAGCACGGCGAGACCAACACAACGCGTACACAAGGTACACCCGCGTTTCAGGGCGGTTCTCACCGCCCCCAGCCACCGATTAGCTAAAAACACAGTCGACGGCCATCGGGGTCACAAGGTACACCCGCCAACGCGTACACAAGGTACACCCGCGTTCCAGGGCGGTTCTCACCGCCCCCAGCCACTGATTAGCTAAATACACAGACGATGGCCATCGGGGTCTCGGTCCGCACCGCAGCAACTTCAACGGCCCTTAGATGACATGTCGTACTTAAACGCACGCATGAGCACATGCGCGGCCCTCTACCTACAGCGGAGGGCCCAAACCCGTGGGTTTTGGCTAGCCCACCGGTTCTGCGTCAGATGAAGCTTTAATAGTCTCGGGACTGAAAGCAAAAACATCAGTTAATACAAGATACAAGAAGGATAGGAGCTTCTCCATTCTATTGTATCTTTTTTTAAGTTTGTTATCACAAAACTCCGTCATTTATGAATTGATTTTATAAACTGTTTTTGCATTAGGTTCGTCTAAGGCGTTTAGACCAGATCGTTAGCGGATAACCATAGTTTTATTGCGATCGGTTGCGTAGGTATTCGACCTTTTAGGGATTTAACTGGTATATAGGGAATAGAGGGTTTGGGAAAGTACTGATCATATTAAGTGTGACCAAATCCTGTCCGATCTCCTCGACTCTTTGGCCTTACGAAGGGACGTTGCATTCCTTTGCATTTTCTATCGGATATATCATGGGGAATTGTTCGAAAAAAACTACTACCACTAAAACGGTTATTGAATAACTTAAAGGATGTAACAGTTATCGTTAAAGCATTAAAATAAAATTTTCTACAAATAATGTCATACAAATTTAATTTTGTATATAATATATAATATACAATGTCATACAGATTATTTCTACAAATGTACTTTATAATACCTATTTCTGCAGCAGTAACAAGTAAATAAATAAAATAAATACCAATGATTGATAACTCATTATTGTTATCAAAACAATAAAGCACTTGTAACACAATTTAATTTTGAGGTAGGTTTTGTGATTGATACGTGGAAACACTAACTACGACTACGATCCTTCACATTTGACAGCTTCACTTCGCGGTATTTTTTGAATGTCCAACGAGTCGAAAGTGTGTTTTTCATGAAACTTCTTCGACGATTGAACAGGTAAATTTGGCTTCGTGTGGTCCCGTTTAAAATGGCGCCCCAAGTGGCTCGACTGCGAAAATGTCCTGTCGCATATCTTGCATTTGTAGTTCTTCTCGCCGGTGTGAACGACCCTGTGTTGCTTGAGCGCCGAGGAGGTGTAGAACGTTTTGCCGCATTCGCAGCGATAGTCCCTTTGCCCTTTGTGCCTTTTCAAATGTACGTTGTACGCGCTGCACGTCACGAATCCCCTTTGGCATTCCTTGCATTTATATCTAAAAAATATGAATTATGTTCAACAAATGCACGACTTCGACGTAGTTGCGGTCACATAGAACAGAAAGTATCCTCGTACAAGGCAAAGAGATTCTATATACATGGATATCAGGGATCCCAGTAACCAAGCGAGGAGGGCATATAGACTGGCTTCCTATAGTTACAGCCGAAGGTCGGTGCTGAGAGAGTAATTTCGGGGCGATTTCTAAGCACAGGCATAGTGCACAGCTGCATTCATCTAAATGCACTATGAGCTTCTGGTCACTGAGGGCTTTAAGTGAGTACAATTCTTATACAACACCACTGGGTATCCTTTAAAGATTTCCCCTTTTAAAAAACAGAACAAAATTTTAAGTATGGTTAAAATAGACACTAATATAGGATGGAGTTTTAGTGATAATAAATCTGAAATACTATTTGTTTTTTGTATAACCATTGGGATTCAAACCTTAAGTCAAATTAGAGTTCAGTAGAGCCTCAAAACTTGCCAACAGTGCCTCAAAAGATTTAGATTATTGATGACCAACTCTTTTTTAAACTTTGCATTTGTTTTAACTTGTGATTGTGCACTTTATTTAATTCTAAAAATTATTTACCTGATTTCTTTGTTATGAATTCTTACATGTATGGAGAGATTTCCAGAAGTAGCAAAAGTTTTGGTACAAAGATGGCACGAATACGGCTTTTCACCATTGTGAATACGCTGATGCACCTTCAGATCAGCTTTAATTGGAAAACCTGAATAGGGGGTAATAGTTGTAATGTTTAAACATTGTTCTTTCATTATTGAAAAGTTTACATTCTTATATCAATTAATGGTTAACAAATGTTCATTTATTTTATTTAAAAATTGTAGTTTCTAAGACATGCTGTTAATTAGATAATGGTAATTAGTTTGTGACACCCATATTACAGTCAGAGCCTTTTACCTTTTCCACAGACTTGGCACAGATATGGCTTCTCACCCTTATGTCTCTTCATATGTATGGACAGTTGAGCACTTTGAACAAAGCTCTTGAAGCATATATCACAGCTGAACAGTTTTTCGCCTAAAACATAAAGCAATAATAATGTGAAATCTACATCATGTTATGTTGTTTCATAATTTTAGTTTTCTGATTTCTGTGCTTTAACTTACAGACTGCAACCTAAACTGTGGTTTAAATTCGATCTAAGGTGTAGCAAGATTCATGATTCAATTTACAGCAAAAGAAAATATTTAGGCAAAACATAAAACAGATATTACATTCTAAAATTCTGATTTAATGAAGGATTACTATCAATTTAAAATAGAATTTTTTGACTAAATATTTGCAGATATCTTGATTTGCAACAATGTAGAAAGAAAGCGTTAAGATTTTTCGCTGTGACTATCCGCCGTTTAGCTCAGTAGCTAGAGCGTCAGGCCGCGTATGCCGAAGACGAGGGTTCGATTCCCACAGCGGCGACAATCTTTTCGTACTTTTTCTATATGTTTTAATTGCAATTGGTTTTCAATAGGTTTTCAGCAATAAAACTGAAGATTCTGTACCAGTATGCATCCTTATGTGGTTGACGAGACCAGTGCGTCGACTAAATTGCTTAGGACAGTATTCACAATGGTATGGAGTTTCTCCTGTATGAAGCTTCTTGTGCTGATTCAGTGTGCTATGGCCCCTGGAATTAAATACATTTTTTTTGCGAGATAAGTTGGCAAATATGCAGGCTGTTCACCAGATAAATGATTGGTGGTACATATTAAATACAAAAGCATTCATATATTAAATTTTTTACGGTGGTAGGGCCATGCAGCAGCCTCGGCTCTTGCACGAATGGGCAGGCCCGTCCGGGTAAGTACGACCTCAGAGAAGACCAGTGGAAGTATGACAAATACTTTCGCATTTCGTCTGGAGAGTGAGGTAGCCAGAGCCCAATTTTCAAAAGGTTGTCATCGCATCTGTAACCCTCTCGTGTAGCAGATGTCCATGGCATTCACTTAACATCAGGTGAACTGTTTGCTCGTATGGCAACTTTTCGCATAAAAAAAACTGTTAACTATTTGTTCCATATTCTTTTGAATTGATATAACTAAGTTTTATTATTTACATAATTAACATGATAATCATCTTATTCATTCATTCTCTATTCTTGCAGGCAGTGGTATTGGCATGACAATGGTAATTGTGGAATATGCTATGCAACTACCAAAATAAGAACAGAATTTCAATAAACTAGGTATATAATTTCAAATTGTTTTCAATGTTCTACTTTGATTCTATAAAACAATATTTTTCTCTCACCTAAAAGCTGACGGGCATTTGTCACATTTATAAGGCCGTATGTCACTATGGCATATTTTATGTGCTTTTAGGTTACTTTTTGTGCTTAGGAATTTACCACAAATATCACACTGATGAGGGAGTTTACTTTCTGGTACCTGCTTGCCATTTTCCATTGCGTTTTCATCATCTGTTATGAGAAAAAAATTATTTCCTCCATTAAAACAACTAAAATCACATGCAAACTTTATTTAAAATGAAAATAGCTATTTTAAATTCTTCATCAATTAACATTCCTGTATAATTAGGCAAAGCTTTGTATAATTTGTATTTATTTGTAGATTGTATGTTTACTAGCAAATAAAAATTATCTTATTTGAGCAGTGCTGCAAACTCTACTACATTTTAAAATATCAAAGGTAAAAATTAAGAGTAACATTTTCACACTCACATTTTCTTTTCCTTCCCCTTTTCTTTTTAGGTCTATCTTCACTACTAGCATTTTCTGTAATTAAATTATTACTTTAATACAACATACAATAATTATGCTTGACAGCAAACAAAAGAGCAGAAGGCACCTGTTAAAGCCTTGAACTTTATGTCCTCTTGTAATAAATTGTCATCATCTGCATCCCAACAATTATCATCGACTACTTCATTTTTACATAGCAGCTCTGAAATATTTAGTACAAATTAAAATTTTGTCAGAAATTACGATGAAAACTAGTTTATATTGTAGTACATACCATTTTTAAGGACATCATTTTTAAGATTTGTAGTTTCTCTAATTTCAGAATTACTATATACTATATTTGATGATTCTTCCTTTATAAGACCATTGTGGTTATTCTCCACATTAGCATCTTCATCCTTGATTTCAGGTTGTTTATCACTGCAGCTTTGTAAAATAGGTTTATAATCAATAAACAATCTCAGTTTTCTATCACTTTCCTCGCATTGTACATTAAATGCGTATACTCTCTTAAGCTGCCTGCTACATTCTTTACAAATTAGTCTTGGTAATCCATCATCTTGCAATGGCTAAAATAGTAATTATAACATTAGCTCATTCTTAGAATATAATGAGAGAACTAATTTTCTTATGGATAGATGGATTAAATCGATTAAACCCCGCCACCCACCTTTAGTTTTGTGCAATTTGATAACATCTCTGCATACAAAGTATTTCTTTTAACATAATAACTTGTATAAATATCATATGTTTCACTGCTTGCTTCGAGACAAATTCGACATATTCGTTGAAAATCCATATTCGAACATGTAAATGGCTTTTAATTTTGCTTTATTATATTATTCATAAACTTAAAGATGAACACATTTACAATAAATCGAAGGTTGTTAAATTGTAAATAATATTATCGGCGAAATTTATTCATCAACTTCACTTGACATTGACAAGTTGACAATTAAATTAAATATAATCATAGATACTTCCTTCTTATGAGTTTTGACATATTCATGTCAAGCAAAGCATCCGGCCTCTGTTGTCGCGTCATGGCGGAAATGCATTGAACTTAATTGGTAGTCGGGATCTTTTAAAAAGTTTATTATACGGTGTCGTATCGGATGCATGACATGGTCAATGAGGGTGTGGTATAGACATCAAAAGCTTTACCTTAAATTTACCTTGATTTTAAATAACTTGAAGCGGTTTCAAATGTTTGGCGGGAATATGCACCAAAATTACACTCATATTTATATGTGATGTATAAATGTTTCTAGATGAACTTTACGTAATTTTTGTGTAATTTTACTAGGCTTTGTGGTGTAAGGCTGATAGTCAAAGTCAAAGTCAAAGTATATTTATTCAATATAGGCCTAACTTAAGCTCTTATTGAACGTCAACAAAAAATCTACCACCGGTTCACTAAACTAGACCTGCACAGAGAAGAACCGGCAAAAAACTCTGCGGTCTTGACTACGACGCCTAGTAAATGTTTTTGGCGATCCCAATGACCAATTAAAATTAATGCATTTCTAACAGGACGCATCGATAGAGATCTCAGGCCTGTATATTCTGTATGTGTCTTTTACGTATCGTTTGAGGTAGTGTATTTTGGCACGACTTACGTCCAATTACGAAAAGTATGGGTTACACCCCACGTCGTGCATTCAAATCTTTAATTTTAATTAATTTTAAATATTTTTTGCATATAACTGGGAAAGTTTTCAAACTTCAAAAAAAAAGGAGTCAAGACCTTTTTCCACTGAAGATATTTGCAATTGTAATGGCCTAAAGGTCCTTGATACCGGGCCATAAAATCCAAATTGTAATGTGATATCGAATCTCAAATCTGCATACGTTTAATTTCAAAAATATGTATTTTGTTTTTCGCCTTGATTACTTTTGCGGACTTCTTACGAAGCTGTTTCAGCCTCCGGGCTCAAAGCAGACTCTAAACTAAAAAAAGTTTTTGATCTAATACTTTTTTCGGTATGGTATTAAGTTAAATAATTGTACTCTGTACATCTGTAACAAAAATAATTACGGCACCGGACGGCGGGCACACAAAGTCACAGACTGACCACAATGTAGTGATTACCTACATTCTCTCTGACAGACCACGGAGTCACAGACACACACAGACAGAAAACAAAATGTCGATATTGTCGACACAATGTTTTGATTGATTGTGTTTATATGGATATATAGCCTTATAATAAATACGGGTGCATTCGTCTTTGTATACTTATTGTTTATATATTAGGGAGAAGCCCTGACAATGTCTTCTCTTCAAAAGACTATTATGAAAAATAAATTACCACCTCGAATACCTAGATCCTCGGGAATAGCCAAGTAAGTTTTTTATTACACTAACTTTTGTAACAGTAACCAATGTGTTTATTAGATTTTAAGGAATGTTCAAAATTGTTTTAAGATTAATATCATTATTACTATACAGTTGCCTGTCTTAAATAATTCAATAACAGGATAACAAATTCTACCTATCTCGTTGATACTGCCCTACAGTTTCCTGCGGTTCCAGTTTCTACGGTTTCAATGATGGGCTTTAATTTTTAGTAAGAAATTATCTAGGTTTAACGTAAATAAATCAAGATAATTAATGCTCTAATATTATTTGAATTTAAAAGTACCTTTTGCTATAGGTTAGCACCATTTGGCGCCACTCGTCGCAAAGATTATTCCCCGGTGTCGTGGAAGAAGTACTTCGAAAAGTATGTTGATGTTGAGACTGACGAAGGAAGTTTCAGGGTATATCTCTCTCCAGAGCCTGATCATCCTTCCAGGCCGAGGATTATAACTTTACACGGCGGTGGGTACTCTGGGTTAAGCTGGTCATTGTTCACGGTAGGTTTTATATTATATTATATTTTGATTAGGAAAAACCTTTTGTTTTTTATATAAAAGGCACACTGCTGAAATATTCAACTAAAAGTTTTGACTCATATTTATAATATATACTTAAGTGTTATTGAACATTTTTCTCATGCGTTATTCCCATTCAATTATAATGAGGATATATAAAATTGAATAAGGATTTAATGAATTGATGACTATATGGTTTGATGACTACTCACTACTTATTATCAGGTCAAATTATATAAAATATTATAATTTGACCTGATAATAATATTAAATTATATAAGATATAAAACTTGTAGTTACAAGGATTTTGTATTTTTGCAGGAAGAAATAACAAACATGATTCACTGTCAGGTGGTGTCAATGGACATAAGAGGACATGGTGAGACAAAAGTGAAAGATCCTGATGATTTGAACATTGATACTTTGGTCAGGTAATAATATGGTACATACAGGTGTGCAAAATCTTCAAAATTTATTATTATTATTTTTATTAAGAAATAAAACTGATGAAGATGTTTTGTTTACCTTAATTTAAATGAAATTTATATACAATGTTAAACTTAACTTTAACTGCATCACCCTTAATTAATATTTCATTTATGTATTTACTTGGTAAGCCTGTTTAATAAATGAATTAATAGACCCTTTGCAGCATCCATGATCATAAGAAATTACATAAATCAGTTTTGATGTAATGCAGAAAATCATTGCATATAATACCTAAGCTGTATAAAAATATTATTATATTGAATTTTTATTCTAGGGATGTGGAGCAAGTGATACAAAAGCTCTATGATGAGGAACCTCCACCTTTGGTGTTGCTAGGACACTCGATGGGTGGCGCCATTGCTGTGCGAGCAGCACATTCTCCTGTGCTGGAGCATTATGTTCAAGGCCTTGCGGTCATTGACGTTGTGGAGGGTATGCTAATATGTTACCATGGATGGAAGATAAAACAAGATATTAAATACCTTATATTTGATGATATCGATTTTTAAAGTATTGTATAGCTTATAGAAAACGCGCTCCATCCCAGCTTTTGTTTGCTGCACAGGTAGCACTAACAACATAAAAAGGGGGGCGCTAATCTGATGATTGCCAAAAAATTCCAACTAAATATGTTGTTGATAAGCTGACAAGAATTTTTTGTAACAAAGCGTATGTTAATATATTTCAGTGTCTTAATGTTTCACGAGTGGTAGGGCCACGCAATAGTTTTCACTGTTGCACAAATGGGCAGGTCAGTCTGGGTAAGTAAGTATCAAAATCCACAGAAGACGGACGTAAAGTACAAGTGTTACACTTTTGCGTTTTGTCTGGTGAGTGAGGTAGCCAAGGCCCAATTTATTTAAACGTGGCAACGCATTTGCAACCATACGGGTGTTGCATATGTCCATAGGCGGTGGTTAACACTTAACATCAGGTGAACCGCGAGCTCGTTTGCCTCTTTCTCACATAAAAAAAAGAAAAGTGAATTGGGTAAAACATCCACAGGCTGTATCAAATAATGGAGAAATAAGCACGGATTGCTCCATCGAGAGGTGGACGCTATGGAACTGCTGAGGCACGCCGTGTTGTCGGTTCGATGTCTAAATGGTTCAAAAATTTGTGTGCTCCATAAATCGTTTCTCCTAGCCTGGGTGTACTTTGTGTCAGTGCTTTTTGATGTTTGTACTGCAACACTAAATTTATTTCTTAGGTAGTTTCCAAAATGGTTGGAGCCTGGGGTTTGGGTGTGTATGGGGTCGCGAGGTCCTGAAAATCATTGATTTGTACTAATGAGTTGCTTCAATTTCTTACTTTCAAAAATTCCTTGCTCACATTTTTTGGGGCTTTCAAGCTGGTGAAACATATATATATTAGCTCTTTACTTTAGTCCACCCCATCAAGCTTAGAACATGTGCTTATATTTTGCTAACAATTTTTTCGCCTTTTTTCACAACAGTGTTCAATATTAAAATGTCCGGTTCGCAGGTATAAATTGTTTTCAAAATTAAAAACATACACCATTTCCTTTGCAGGGACAGCTATGGAGGCTTTGGCCAGCATGCAGAGCTTTCTGCGGGGTAGGCCTACACACTTCAAGAGCATTGAGCATGCTATAGAGTGGTGGTGAGTCCATCTGCAATATTTTCCATATCTCTATCCAGTTTTCTTGCACCTCCTTATTTTCTCTATTTATTTGTTGTTGACTGTTAGAGAACACCTAATAGTGTTAAGCCCGCCGTTGTACTCTTGCCACTGAGGAAAAAGTTTTTAAATAAAAAAAATGAACTTAAACTTATTATGGATGTAATCTGACACAAATTATCCTCATTCCGAAACAGTTCTCCTGATCTAAGCTTAAGTAAGAAATTATTGACGGAAATGAGCACAAGAAATAAGAGCACAGATAAAAGCGCAACGCAACAAAAGCTCGCCAGAGATATCTGCACGTAGAAAATTGCGCGCATGGAATAATTCCAACACGAAAATAACATCTCATGTATAAACGTACATAGAAAAAAACGCACTGTTCATTTTAATGAACAGTCTGAAGCACTGATCATCGAAGTTAGCTAATCAGCTGTCAAATGGCTTTCCAAATGTTATTCGAGTTGCCAAAAGGATTGTTTTTGAGTTGCTAAAATTAAACTCTCTGAATTGATCAGAATGATCGATACAATGATCAGTTTTTCAGGAACTCTGGGCGTAACTCTAATTAATTCTACGCAGTCTACTTTTGTGACCAAACGCAATAACGACCCTAGTCTTTCTAATTTATATTATTCGGCTCAATGGGTTCACTTGGACCACCCCTACACCGCAGGCCGTGTTTTAATTTTGATTTTTAAATCTCTCCAGTGACAATGAACACTGAAAAGGGTTCGAAACTCAAAAATCCCTAAAATAGTTTCATTTAATAACTAACAATATTCACAACTAGCGACCCGCCCCTGCATCGCACGGGTGCAATTTATTATACATATAAACCTTCCTCTTGAATCACTCTCTAATAAAAAAATACCGCATCAAGGTCCATTGCGTAGTTTAAAGATTTAGGCATACATAGGGACAGACAGACAGCAGGATGACTTTATTTTACACTATGTAGTGATTTTACAGCAACTTTTATATATAATCTTTCTAAAAATGTGACTCTGCTCAGAGTTTTCTTGCGCTTTTTCCCAATGTTTGCAATAAGCTTAAAGTTTGTACTTCTTTCTTGATTTTGCAGCGTAAGAAGCGGTCAGGTGAGGAATGTGGAATCCGCCAAGATATCAATGCCTAGTCAGATATTAAAGTAAGTCCAGTGGAATCTTCTATCCTAGTTTTTATTGATAGCTTTATGTATTAACATTACATAATATTTATTTGAGTCATTTCAAACATGTTGCAAAAGTAGAAAACATTAAATGGTATACTGGTTGTATATGTTACAAAATTTTTTGCTACTTCATATTCAGTGACATTGTTTTCATTTCACTCTTTTTGATGAATCTACCAGAGAAACTGTTCTGTTTTTTCTCGACTTTTTTTTTGTGGATTAATGGCCTGTCGGAATAGGATTCTATTAAATTACCTTTAAAAAAGATAAGTAGGTAAAAAAAATTTCTTATGCTTGTTTTAAGCTCTTATTGAATGTCGAAAGATTACCACCTAAACTGGACCTAATCCAAAGAAGAACCGCCAAGAAGCTCTGCGGTCTTGTTATCTTTTTTTTTAATTATATAATTATACAAAATTATTGAGTAATAAATTCAACAGCAACCACCCTGCAAGTGCAGAGCAAGAGATATTTCCACGCACACCTCACCGAGCCGTGATAGCTCAGTGTTCGGGCGCTCGCCTTTAGTTCAATATACTCGAGCAACCTGAGTTCGATCCCCGGTGCCGGCACCAATGAAGTTTTTAACTTTAAGTGCTGACTTATCACGTGCTCCGCGGTGAAGGAAAACATCGTGAGGAAACCTGCATATTTTCGAAATAATAACAAAAAAAAATTTAATTTCGAAGATATGTGAAGTCCGCCAATCCGCAGTGGGGCCGCGTGGTGGACTACGCCCTGATACCCTCTGTATAGAGGAGGCCTTTGCCCAGCAGTGGGACATGTATAGGCTGTTACTTTACTTTACTTTACACACCACCACCACACACTTAATCTGGCCATTTTACGTTCGCAGCTGTCAAACCGGCCTGCTGGCCACCAACGAGGTGGAGTCGCACGCGGATGACGTCACGGCCCGCGAGGCGGTGACGTCACTGGCGCCCATCCGCCACGGGCCCCTCGTTGACCGCATCGCCGAGGAGAGCGACGAGAGCGACACCGAAGCTATGGACGACGCCGACGCAAATCACGCCGCGTGTGTTGTCGCTAAGCGCGCGGCGGCCGATGCAGCCGACGCAACCGATGTAACCGACGCAACCGATGCAACCGTCGCAACCGATGCAAACGGCGCAACGGATGCAAGCGACGCAAACGAAGCTACGTACCTCAGCGACGCTTCGGATTCGGCCGACGCTTCCGACGCGTCCGACGCTAAAATCGCGAAGCGCGCGAAGGACGACGCGCTGTTCGCAGTGCCGAACGCGGTCGGCGATGGCAATGCAATGAAGTATGTGTTTAATTCATAGTGTTGTATTGTATTCTTGTTTGGATGGGGTTGGGTAGTAATTCCGACGACTATTGTGACCTGGAACATCTATTGTAGTCTTCCGTTCGAAAACATTGCCCCTTACTGTAGGATAACATTGTCCTGTGTTGTAAAGGCGTTTTACATGCATGGATTTCACGTCAATAAACACCCAGATCCGAACACAATTATCTGTGGGTCATAAAAACAATTGTCTCGTGTGTGAATCGAACCCACGACCCCCGCCACTGAAGCCCATACCTTGGCAATTGCGCCCTGGAGTTATGGTATTTCTCGTACGAATGAATGATATTCCATTTATTAGTAACACTCTTATGTAATTTTTCCTTTTTTTACAAGCAGTTAATTAATCCAATGTTTAGTCTTTTATTAAAAATAATCATGTCACAAATATTTACTAAGTTTCCTTATTTGACACAGATTATGTCATATTGATTTTTTTAAATTAAAAAAAAAAAAACGAACATGAAGACATCTGTCCACCTATTGGGATCTAAGTTACTTTGATTGTGTATTATTAAAACAACTCATTATGTTATGGTGGTATTGTGATGTGTCTATGACCTGTGATAATGATCAAGGTGTCTTGTGATGAGTGAGGAGATAGATAGACCTTGGTGTCTTTCCACTCACTGGTATCTCGTTATGGTGCATATGCAGACCTTGTATGAGGAGGTAGATCTTGGTGACCTTCGGTGTCTTTCCCCTCACTGGTGTCTCGTTTGACGAGTATTTAGACCTTGGAAACCTTCTAGTCTTGCCGTTCCAGGTACCGTTGGCGCATCGAGCTGTCCCGGACTGAGCGCCACTGGGCCGGCTGGTTCGCTGGACTATCGCGCGCTTTCCTCCTCAGCAAGTCACCACGTCTTCTGCTGTTAGCGTCCGTCGACGGCCTGGACAAGGAACTCACCGTGGGACAGATGCAAGGTCTGGACGTTTACAGTTTTTGAATCCCAGCGACATGCAGCTTCTTTTATGTGGGAAGGCGGCAAGCGAGCTGGCGGTTCACCTGATGTTAAGTGATAACCGCCACCCAAGGATTTGCAACACCCGTAGGATTGCAGGTGCGTTGCCCCCGGCTACCTCACTCGTCAGGTTGAAACGCAAAAGTGTAACACTTCCACTACACGCCGGTCTTCTGTGAGGTTGCGGTACTTACCCGGATGGGCCTGCCTATTAGTGCAACAGCAAATGATTTAGCTACGAGTTAATTATTTATAGAGATGGTGGAAAAGAGTACCTGATCAATGGCTCTGGATGAGTTGCAGGTGAATTGCCTATAGCTGAGAGTTATGGCTACTCCGATGTCTATATAAAACATGACTACAAAAGTTAAGTACTTACGCTTCATTTGTTTAACCCGTGCGGACCTCAATAACGATGTCACTTATGAAAAAGTTTGCCATAGGAAAATTACCCTATGGGATTTGAAGTACAAATATATTACAGTTTTGGATTTTTCAATTTTATTTTATTGACAAACCTATTGAAAATGTTCAATATTTTTTGTAGGCAAGTTCCAGATGCAAGTTTTGACGAGGTGCGGTCACGCCGTCCACGAAGATACACCCGGAGAGGTAGGGAAATTTAATTATTATTTATTATAATGCATACGGTGGCGGGTTGCTAAGCTAATGGCTTCGGCGTCGGGGGTCGTGGGTTCGATTCCCACACGCAACAAGTATTCCTGGGACCCACAGATAATTGTCCCCGAACTGGGTGTTTGTTTCCAAAGGAGGGTTGACGTCATGCAGGCAACCAGTTGTAAAAATCATAGACCCCGCTTAGGTGGGATAAGTCCAGGAGGTTTATGATGATGAAATAAATTAATTTATTTCTCACTACATGTGGCTTTTACTTTATAATCATTACATAGAAAATTATGTAAAAAATTTCTAAAAATATCTTTTTGGCAATTTTTTTGAAGTTTCATTGTAATTGGAGACTTGACACTTAAAATAAAATAAGTAATAAATTTTAATAGCCGTCGAAAATGTCATTTGAGAAAGGAAAAGCTTTCTCTAATGGAAGCACACTTGATGACGCCCAGCATTGATAAAACGTACAATGAAAACAAAGTAAATACGTCAAAATTTTCGCGCCACGAGGCTATAAGTGACTCGGGTTCATCGTCGAAAATATTTCGAAAATTTATCTAAACTGCATACTAGTAGCAAAAATAAAAATATATATACATAAATATATTATGCCTTTAAGTTTTTAAATGAATTTATTATGCCATTGTTTTTGGTGCCATTTGCTGTTGAAACTATTAGTAATTAATTATTCATAGGGTTGGTAATGCTGCGGTTGGTGACAAGAGACAAAATATAACTACTCAGTGAGGAAATGCATCTAGCTTTCTTGGCACCATTTATTAGGTTTATTAGTTAACATGTAATTTAAGATAGATTTAATCTTGTAAATATTAGATAAATAAATCTGGTAAAAAAAAAATTTAAGCCAACTGATATGTGTGTAACTTAACCTTTTCAGGTGGCCCGAGTGGTGGCATCTTTCATACTCAGACATCGGTTGACAACAGCTACCGAGAATGGGGAACAGATGAATCTCGTCTCTGCACCAGGATGCTAATTGAACTTCGTAATTGGATCATTCTCATCTCGGTGGACCATCTCTACATGAAACACTTCAGTTTAAAGCTCGTACCTTCATGAGTTGTGTTGTATCTTGATTGTTTGTTAATATTGTTAACCCAAATTTCAGTTGACCTTGAAGAGGCAATGTACAGTTGTATAATTGGGGTATCAAGCAAAAGTAGAATTTGTAGAAAAAACTATAAGTTTATATTTTTTCTATACGAGATTTTTTTAAAGTTAAGTCCATTTGCGTTGGCGAGTTTTTCCGCACAGAGGCTTTTAGAGTTGTGAAAAAAAATACAAAAGCAATAAAAAAATGCTATAAAAATAAAAGCGATTTTTAAATTTTAAGTACGTAACAAGCATTTTCTTTATGATAAAATTGTAAAATCAGTCTCTTGCTTCTCCAATAAAACTGTCTTAAATCATTCAAATCGAAGAAATAGACCGCGTAAAACTTTAATGCATCTGAATCTAATTGTGAGTATTGGGTAGAATCGCTACCTAACATTATATAAAACTCCATACATGCAGAAAACCTTTGCATGCCTTGTCGTCCCAAATAAACATACTAAAATATGGACACATATAACTTTGTGCTCTCAAAGTTATTGATCAAATAAACTAAAATCTTTAGCACTATATGATAACTATTTTGTTATCCTATAATTGTATTGTTTTCTTTGCATTACGTTTTTCAATTAAGATACAAAAAAAATGTTATACCTGTAATGGATAATCATGTTAAATAATCTTCATAAAGCACTTGATCCTTCAGAAAACCGTCTGAATTCCTGTTTGAAGTGGCAAGTTTCAAACTTTTGGTAAAGATAGACCATATTTAATACGAATTTAAATGTTTAGATAAAGTAATGCAATTGCTACACAACTTGATAACTTAACATGTATGTTAGCGAAATATCGAAAAATGAGACTGAGAAACATGGACTTATGTTTGTCTAAAAAAATTCGAATTTAATTTTCTTCCGAATGAGTCAGAAATAGTTTTCTGAGACAGACATTTTGTATGAAATATTACAATAAAGACTACTAGTGACATTGTATATTGTGTCTGAAAAATTAAAAAGTTTGAAACTCACTTCTTCTCAGACTCAGCGTAAATGGGACGGCAATAATATTCTCCCTCTTTTGAACCACATTAAAGTTTTGCGCGATCTTTTAAATTCTCTAAAATATGTTGCAATTATGTTAAATTGATGAGAAAACCTTAACAAAAGTAATTTGGTCTTATTAAAATAATAATTACTTTTAAAATTTCATATTTATTCTTGATTAAGATGAAATAACTTTGCATCGAACAGAAGACTTTGATTTTTGTATTTGGTCAATGTAAAATAGAAATTCAGATTAATAGTATTTTAAATAATAAGTGAATAGATTATTAGTGTTTTAAATTAAGACCTCATCTTACTATGATTTACTTTTTATTCATTGTGCTGTAAATATGCGTTTATGAATTGACTTCGCACTGTTAGATAAACAAACTTACTTTTTTAAAATCTGAAATATTTGGTTATTGTGTTCATTCATAATTAAAGTTTGCTACTGTAACAAATATAAATGGGTATATTTTTGTTTTATTATTTAAAACCAATGTTGTGAAATGGAAACTATGCAGTTGTTGCCATACACTGTAATTCTTCTGCAACAAAGTCATTCATATAATTTATATCTTTTTAACAAGTTGAACCAAAACTTCAGATGCTTCTGTACTGAAATTTGTGTACAATTATTTAAGAGCAAATTTAAATCTATTTCATTTATGTTTAATACAAATAAAATAAGTTTTTGACGTTCTTTAAAGTATTGTTTATTATTTTTGGTTTATGTCTACTTAAAAACTAATCCAGTGTATAAATTAATATTGAAAACAACACAATTTGCATGAATCAAGTTTTTTTTATTAATAATTGCGTAAGATTAATTCTTATCCATACATAAAGAGGTTACAAAATATGTGACATGTTTAAGAATACACTTGAAATAACTTAGGTTTCTGCGGTGTGGAATTGAAACATTGTTCAGAGTTCATTTACACACTTAAGTAATTCGATCTCTAAATGTTGTAGAAGTAATATATTCGAATGTCGCATTTGATCAGGCGTGGTACTTACAATAAATTTATCTATGATCAATTTTTGTGCGCCCTGAAAATGTAAGTAAATAGTTTTTTTATCTAATTTCATGTTATTTATAAGTTCGATTATTTATTACTGAATGATTTGCTTGTAAACATTTGGTAATAGGCATCGTTAATATTTTTGTGTAATGAAAAAAGAGATTTGTCTCAATAAAACCTGATATCAGCTATTGTTGTTATTTTTTAATGGTTTTTTTTTTATTTATAATACAAATAATACAGGCGTTTAAATCAATAATAAACCGCAATATTCCAGTAAGCTTACCCCAGATTTATACATTGAAATTTACCCTTCAAAAGCAAGCTACGCGGCCAAGCTGTAAATGACAATTCATTGCCTCAAAATACTAAAATTACGACTATATGATTGTTTACACTAACATTGAGAAGGAGAAATAGAATTTTAGTATTTATATACAAAAAAGTAACAACAAAGTGCTCCTTACTGTTGTTTATGCCGCCGCGTTGCCGCAGCGATCTATAAAAGAACATTACTGTTTTGTTTGTTATTTATAATGAAGTCTTTATAATGAATTGTATCGTACATATTTTTTACTGTGCCTTATAGCCTGACAGGACGCAAAAAAAATCCCATGGTTAAGGAATTTTATAAAAAAAAACTTTTATAAAAGGCAAATCCAGATGACGCTGTGATCATCAACCAACCAAACTTTTAAAACCCATGCTCAAGGTCATATAATTATATCACTCTTATACCAGCTCACTAAATACTTTATGAATGTTCACAAAACCTTAGCAAAAGAATGTATACTCCGTTGTAAATTATCCTACTCTATTTTGTATTGTTTATCTCTTTCTTTCCCACGAATACGATACTCTTCACTTTCAGTAATTATTATATCTCTCTGAGCTACTGAGATGAAAAGAGTATCCGTTGTCAATGGTTCACTTGTTTACTGATATAATAGAATTAGACATAGAGCCGTGATAGCTCAGTGTCCGGGCGCTCGCCTTTAATTCAATATACTCGAGCAACCTGAGTTCGATCCCCGGTGCCGGCATCAATGAAGGTTTTAACTTTAAGTGCTGACTTATCACGTGCTTCGCGGTGAAGGAAAACATCGTGAGGAAACCTGCATATTTTCGAAATAATAACAAAAAAAATGTATTTCGAAGATATGTGAAGTCCGCCAATCCGCAGTGGGGCCGCGTGGTGGACTATGCCCTGATACCCTCAGTATAGAGGAGGCCTTTGCCCAGCAGTGGGACATGTATAGGCTGTTACTTTACTTTACTATAATAGAATTGAACCATATCTCCATAAATATAAAGATAAGAAGTGAGCTACGGATGTATTACCTCTTCTGCAGAGATACCTCTTCTATCACTTATTCGCGAGTTACTTATCTCTACTGGACGTGCTTAACGGTCACGTGCATCCCGCGCCAGATAGTGTGGTTCGATCCCCTCTACTGGAAAAATATTTTGTGGTGAATGATGTTTTTCTTCTGTCTGGGTTTTTATATATGTATAATATGTATTTATTTACAAAAGAAAAGTATGTTTAAGTATGTTTGTCATTTATCTAGTACCCATAGTACAAGCGTTGCTTAGTTTGGGATATATATTAAAGAGAAGTAAGAAAGGTAAAGTAACAGCCTATACATATCCCACTGCTGGGCAAAGGCCTCTTTTAGAGGGTATCAGGGCATAGTCCACCAAGCGGCCCCACTATGGATTGGCGAACTTCACATATCTTCGAATTTTTTTTTTGTTATTTCGAAAATATGCACGTTTCCTCAAGATGTTTTCCTTCACCGTTGAGCACGTGATAATTCAGCACTTGAAATTAACAATTTTATTGGTGCCGGCACCGAACTCAGGTTGCTAGAGTATATTAAATTAAAGGCGAGCGCCCAGACACTGAGCTATCACGGCTCATTAAATGTGTCCGAAAATATTTATTTATTTACTTGGTTTTCCATATTCAATAGTAATTAATATCGGGGAGGGACACCAGGGGGGACCAGTTTGCAAAAAGAAACCATATATATACATATCAATTCATATCTTTATTATAATCAAAAACAAAGCATTTATTTGAAAATTGTTTCGAGTGTTCCAATATCGTGTACTTTGTTATAAGTAATCGGTTATTAACCATATAAAAAATTGTGAATGAAAAATTTTGATGAAAATCAAAGAGAGAGTAACTTCGACATAATTCTGTATACATCACTAGGTTTATTCTGTTGAATTTGTAGGCGAGTTAAATCCTGCGTTCAACTAGAGATAATAAGCACAAATTAATTTAGTTATAATTTTTTCCGTCTCCAGACAAGCGTGGCCAAGTCTTGGCACTTGCAGACGCTGGCCGCTCCCTTCAATAAAGGACTAAAATTCTAGACTATTACAAGTAAGCAACAGTGTAAATAAGGATTATATAGGATTTCATTATAACACTAACATGATCACTTCTCGTAACAATAGGATTTTGTACATCTATTTGCGAATGACTAGCAAACATAATTAGTACCATGAGAAATATTTTATTTCTCAACATCTTACTGGGCACGCGTTTTTATATACATACTTATTTGTTTTAAAAATACTTTAAGCTTTACTTTATTTTACTAAAGATCTAAATGTTACTGGATAAAACGCAAAAAAGTAATCGAAATATAATAAGTCGAAAATTTAACATTAACTATAGTGAAATCGTTTTTAACAAGTGGATTAAAGGTCATCAATTTGCAATATAAATTTATATGTTATCAATATTTTTGATTTAACGGATTTATCACGCACAAAAATAAATAACTTTTAACATTTTTAGTGATTTCAGCTTATTTATGAGCACATGACACTATTAATTTTTAATTATGTAGAGACAATCAACAAGTTTGGATTGTTATTAATTAATGTAAAAAAAGAACAAAAAAAAACAAAATGTTAGTGAGTTAATAATTTGCAAATGCAAGCACATAGCAATTTCGATTAGCTTCTTACGTATGGGAATAGTATTTATTATAACACGATCAAAGTTCTTTTGGTTAAAGCTAAAGTAGATTTTAACAGCTACTGGGATGTTCCCAGTAGCTGTCAGTAATGTCAAAGTGTCAAAATCTACTATTGTTGGCAGCACTATTCATAGCGCGGTTGGAGACTTGTTAATCTTGTTATATTAATATTTCTTCAAAGTTTCCTTGGCTTTGAATAAATTACTGTCAATTGCAAAAAATTCAGTAGCCTTCGACATTTTTCTGTACTGCTGGAAGATTATTCAGACAAATCCAAGTAAAGTTTGAGTTAAGCATTAACCGATATTAAAGTAGGTATACTTTGATCAAAGTTACTTTGCCAAAAATATTTACTCAAAAAAACATCGAATGTGTTAACGGCGTTTAACAAAAGTATTTGTAAATTATTATTCAGTTTTGCTCTATGCTAAATTTCACAACATCGATTAATGTTAGATAATAATAGTTTGAAAAATATCTAAACAAAGTAAATTCCAGAATTCTAAAACAGTGTACTTAAAATCAAATAATTACTTTAACACTACAACAAACTACTATTTCAATATGTTAATTATAGAAATCTCACTTTTTAATGACAACCATTGTTAAAATTAAAAATTAATTAACTACGGAGATATTTGGCAAATTAGCTACAAACAACACGATGATTAAATTAAACTAATCAAAAATGTTCGGTATAAAAATAGGTAGACTATACAAGTTCATAAAAAGGCAAGTGGTTCCAATTCTTGATAAAATTTCTTTTTTTGCAACTACTAAATTAAATAAAATTGTTACCTACGTTTAAAAAATAAATATGTTTTTATAATCTATGGTAGACTCAGAGATCTGTTATTTACGCAGAACGTGACTGGTTAATGTTAATTATTAGATAAGTATGGCATTAAATATGATAAAAAACTTTGGGAGGTCAATATCGTGACGTTTATAATCAGACGGCGCTCTTCATTTCTTGTTTGACACAAGTTTTGAAAGCCTCCCATCCCTCGTTTTTCGCGTACGACTGAAAAAAACGTCAAAGAGTTCAAAGGAAAGTATTTAGAAAGAAAGAAAGAAGCACATTTATTTACGGTCTAACCACAATAAATACATAACAAACTTAAAAGTAATTAAATAATAAATTACATTACTCATTTATACTACCCAAAGATGAATTGAAATCATCATCAGCTTCAAGACGTCCACTGTTGAACATAGGCCTAAAGAATTGAAATCTAGACATATATTGACAATCAATTAAGTAGAGTAACTTATAGCAATTATAACACTGCATCTCGGTTACCGTATTTTTTTACTCATTGATATTTGCGCTTCCAGTACACAGACTATAAGGCTTCAACGGCTCGTAAAAAGGCTCTTTATAGCTTGACAGACCCTACCTAAGCAACAGTTGATGATCCGTGACGCAGCTGCCAAGGTATTGGTTTCGGCGCCGGGGGTCGTGGGTTCGATCTCACTCGGGACAACTATTCGTGTGAACCACAGATAACTCTCAGATCTGGGTGTTCGCCACGTGAAATTTACGCATGTAAAACGTAACACGGGAAAAAGTAATCCTACAGTAAGGGGCAATGTTTTCGAAGGCAAGACTAAAATAGATTTTCTAGGTCGCAGTGGTAGTTGGGGCCTACCGCCCAACGCCACACAAAATACAATGCAAGCGACGGTCACCTTAAAGCCGCGATGCAGTCGGTCCTTCATGATCGCGATGAACTCCTTGTAGCTGAGTAGACCGTCGCCGTCCGCGTCGAAGATCGCGAAGACCGTGCTGACGAGGTGCTGCGACTGCGCTATGCCGGTGCAGATCTTAACCGCGCGGTGGAACTCGTCTGCGTCGAAGGCAGGTTGCAGGACTTTCAAGTTACACTGCTATTGGCGCAAGTTATCAGAGTGAATTTTTACGGTGCCTAAAAGAGACACCGGCTTCAGGGTGTTACCATGGCAAATGATAATAACTTTTTGACAGTTACTTATAATTCCAAGTTGCTTAATTAAACCGTTTTCGATTGTATTTAATGTTCCTATTCACAAACAAAGAGTACGTAGTAAAGATAATATTTTAGTTATATCTTTTGTTACGCTTATGAAGTTTAACTTCTTACGTACACATGTACATAAGTACACATGCACATTTTTTTTAGTTAGTAAAAAGTTGGCAACCGAGCAGGCGGTTCACCTGATGTTAAGGGATTATTATGGACATTTACAACACCGACCGCACAGAAAGAAGACGTAGTAAAGAGGAAGAGTAAGGACGAAGTAAAGAGGAAATATTACACATTACCATTTCCGTCTGGTGAGTGAGATACCAGAAGCCCACTTTATTAAGAGGTGGCAACGCATCTTCAACCCTACGGATGTTACAGATGTCCAAGTCCTTTTTGATTTTTAAACTGGTGGCAACGCATTTGCAACCCTACTGGTGTTGCACGTGTCCATGGGCGGAGGTGTCACTAAACACCAGGTTAACCGACGGCTCGTTTGCCACCTTCTCCTGAAAAAGGTACAGAGCATCCAGGTGCAGTTCGCTTCCAGCTCACCTTTGGAGATGGGGTGGTCCGCCAGCGTGTACATGCGCATCGCGATGGTGAAGTCCTCCAGGTTGTTGAGGAACTGGCAGAAGGTCTTGAACTCGTCGAAGGAGATGCCGCGCTCGTCGTGCACACGGTCCAGTAGACGGTCGAGGTACATGTCGTACTCGTCAGTGTCCAGGTAGGTGTAGCGGAGCAGGATCTTCGCGAAGTCCACCTCGGATATCGTCTCGTGACCTTTTTTTATTTCTTTTTTTTTTAAATTACCCTTTATGATAACATTATCCTGTACACTCACGCGAAACAACTAGATGTGGGTCACACAAATAGTTGTCCCGTGCGGGAATCGAAACCACGACCCCCGAAGCCTTGGTAACTGCGCCACGGAGTACTCTAACCTTGACGAGGGTTTGCGCATGACATAGAACTATGACCGGCCGATTGGCTGGCTGTACCGCTCTATCAAAACGCAGCGTAGGGCACGTTCGTGTATTACGTGAGCTTCCTTGGTTTGCTTTCTCTTTCTTACTCTTACTGACAGAAGGAGAGAACGAAATATTATTAATCTAAGTAGATAAAAAATGATGGGTCGTCAAAAATCGTTCGCTTACGTGTAATATTTGAACCCCTTGTCTGGAACGAGATTTGACATTGAAATAATTTTCGATGAAAGATTACCGAGCAGCAAAGTTTTGGACGATTTCATCTCTCATGAGTTCAAATGCCAATGATAAAATGAAAATAGTTTCGCTTTTTATGTTTGCATCTAACGAAAAGGACCTTGATTAAGACGAGATGACTTTTGATTAGAAATTAACCTCAGAAGGCCTTAAATAAAAAATGAAAGTTTAAAAAAAATCACCCATGTGTATAAAAAGGAGAAATCCGTTGGCTAGCTTATCGACTAATGGGCAGGGAACAGAAGCTTGAAATTTTGAGTGTGGACCTATATAGTATCTGAGAAAGATTTTTAAACTTTCACCTAAAAGGAACAAACCAATTTGCGTAATCAATCCCTCCGAGATTTAAAACTTACGAAGTAACGGCTTACGGACTCATGTCGACTATACACTGGAGAAAGGAGATATGCCACTTCGGATTTTGGCCATCGAGTTTAAAGCTTTTTATGGAACATTCAAACTGATACAATCTCAAAATTTAGGCCATAAAAGCCATGAATGACTCCTGTTTTTATGCATTAATGCGGTGCAGAGCAAATCTATGTCAAGTGATTTCTTCTATCCTATTCAAAGTTATTCCTTTAATCAAGCAGTGACCTCGCGTTTACCTTTCGAAAACTCGTGAAACTCCAGCTCGAGCACTTCGGTCTGCAGGTTCTCCATGAACTGCCTGAAGCCCTCGAACTTCAGATCGTTTGTGCCCTTCTTGCCGAAGAAGTGCACCTGGAATATTTCCGCCGTTGTCGAACTTGACTTGTCCAGATTCAGTGATGTTGAACACAAATAATTTAACCTCCTGTAGGTATAGCGTGATACAGCTTTGGATGACTTAAAAAGACAAGAATTTTTCTTTCCTCTTCCTTGCCACCTAGGTGGGCTCCGTACAGCATGTAATGCTCCCACCTCATTATTAATGGTATTGGGTATTTTTACAGGCCAGGCCTGACGGAGGCCTACTATTTTAAAAGGAGGGAACGCATCATAACTATTTAAGGAGCATGCAACAATCTTCGCTGATGTACGAATGGTCCGCAAGACTGCAGTTGGCAGCGGTTATCACTTAACATCATCGGGTGAACCACCATAATGATCATACATATTTAATATTTGACATGCTACATTAAAATTATAATTATAATGGTTAACAGAGCTATGCGATTGTGCAAAAACGTTCGATGCATAAAGAGTTACGAATTCCATCAAAATTTAAACAACTTCTTTTTCTGTTTCTAGTCGACGACTTGATAGCACATTAGTGTCTGATTGCGGTGCGTAATTAGCTGATTGGTGAACTGTTAGATCGCTTACTTGTAAGAATGTGTCTACGTTGTGTCTTCGCTGTAGCCCCTGGTCGTCATTAACGTAGGTGTCCTGGGGCCCGCCCCCTTTTTTATCTTTACCACCATCGTTAACCTCTTCTCCGATCCCCCTCTTGCCCTTCCATGCGAAACTGAAGATCTTCTCCATCTGGAATATTCTCACCTTCTCACTCTTTTTTTTTTGTTAGAAAACATTGCCCTTACTTTAGGATAACATTATCCTGTGTTGTAGGGACGTTTTACAAACATAAATTTCACGCGGACAAACACCCAGATGCGAAACAACTATCTGTGGGTCACACAAATAGTTGTCCCGTGTGGGAATCGAACCCACGACCCCCGACGCCAAAGCCAATACCTTGGCAACTGTGCCACGGAGTCATCAACTCTAGTCTCTAACAAGTAGTTGCGTGTATATGTCTGTTGTGGTGTAGAATTTTATCAGTATAGTCTTTAAAAGGCAGTTGTGTTTACAATTTCTGTTATATTGTCGTTTACTCATAGCAGTCGTGGGTGTTTGTGTTTTACATTATATGTTTATTGTTTTGGCCAACTATGTTCGCAGTTAAAGTTGTTTCGAGTACAATCGTGTTCATAACGTTTTATTAGAAAATATTAATTTCTACAGGAATTAATTCGTATATGGTACGCTGTTTTTATTGAATATTTTAATTAATATAAAATCTATAATAACAGGTATATTAATTGAATGAATACATCAAATTGTTAAAATACAAAACATCTTATATATAAAAATGGATTGCTGTTCGTTAGTCTCGCTAAAACTCGAGAACGGCGGGACCGACTTTCTAATTTTGGTTTGTGGCAGTCCAGGGAAGGTTTAAACGATGAGAAATTATGGAAAAATTGCATGGAAAATCGAAATATTTTATTTTCCCATACAAACTGTGCCTGTCAACTATGTCTGTGTAACCTGTTAAACGATTTTTGATCGCGTTCCGATAGAAATAATTTATATGGCAAAACAACGTTTGCCGAATCAACTAGTAATTAATAAATATGACGTCGACGTAATTCTTTAAACCGTTATGGGTGTGAAGTAAATATATTGTGAACATATAAAAAGATACATTAAAAATATATTAAAAACATTCGACAACTACACACCGATTAAGAAAAACACAGACAAACATTTATTAAACACGACATCCATTTACAGGATTGTTTTAGGAACACTTTCAATACATATTATGTAGTACATGAAAAAAACGCAGAGACAAAACGTAAAGATGATGAGAATGAGATGTAACCTCCATAAGTAGATGCCACATTGCAAACAAACCGTGCATAACGAATAGAAATAATGAAAGTGCATACATTGTAATACACAGAAATGTCAGTGCAGCAAAATTATTAATTCCGTAAAAAGAAAGAGCAGAAAGTAAATAGAGGAAAGACATAATTAATAATTTAAATGTTTTAAACTTCCTATCGTCGATGAATCGTGAATAAACGGGCAAATACTTACGAGCCAATTAAAATTTATCATGAAATTTTTCCGCGTGCAATTATTATTTTGATCAACACATGTTAGCTCGAAGGTACTTAAATCGGATACTAAATTAATAAAACAACAGTACTCGACAGAAACGCCATTCGGAGTAACAATTAAATTAAGAGCGCACAATGCATATCAGATACAAGATTCATATGGCCACAAAATCCACAATGATGAAAACAAAGTGTTATTATGAAATCAAAACACTTGTACGCCGGATTCTTGACTTACTGTCGACGGCTTATTATTCTTTTCCTTCTTCTCCGTCTTATTCTTCTGTGCACTTGTGGATACTAAGGCAAGCAGCTATAGAGCCACGTGGTGAGTGTAGAATAAACACAAATTAATTTTATTAATCAATAATATTGATATATTAAGCAGATTGGGAATAGTCTAACGTTTTTCAGGAAAACATTCTCCGTAGAGACGTTTTACAAACACAAATTAAGCGTTTATGTACAGATAGGGATGGCTGAAAAATTAAAAATAAAAAACAAAAAAATAAAACACAAAATAAAGTGACAGATGAAACAAAGCGCCGGAAACAAAAATGACTACCTGTACCACTCCATTGATTGATTATGGATAGAGAGTATTTCACCATGAAAGTAATGCTTTAGGAGAAATTTTACTGTGGAAAATAGTTAACACTGAAAGCTTTGGGTTCGTTGAAATATTTATTTGGAGTCATGTTAGAATAACAGGTGTTTTTATTGTTGTTCAAGTGGTAGATTTTACCACGGAAAATTGTAGCGAAATGAAGACCGTTAGGACAATTGACACAAAGAAGAGTAGCGGCTGTGTCCAATCGGTATTAAACTTTGGACTTTTGAAATTTAAAAAATTAACAAAAAGTTTAAAATATTAATAATAGATACACAGGAGATAGCAGCAATAGAGATATTTTATTTTATTTTAATTTATTCGGATAACTTACAGCTATTAACAAAGATAATTGAGTGATTTTAAATACTTAAGGCCCATTTACATGATGCCAGTTTCTTGCCTGTTGCATACAATTAAATTGAAGCAGTAAATGAGTTGCATGATCTAAACAACAAATGGTCTAAACAATTATTGCGCGCAATTTATTGCATTCAATTATTGCTCTTGTATGTTCAAGAAAATGGCATCGTGTAAATGGGGCTTAAAGAAGCCATTCTGTTTTTCTTAAAATCTATCAGATGTTACCACTTCTATTTGATAAAAAGTTAATGCCTTGTCGGACTAGTTCTGGATGCCATGCATTTGCGAGTCCGATTCCAGCCTGCATTAATTAGTAAATAAACATTTTTTTAATATGAAAAGTTGGCAAGCGAGCGTGAGGTGTTTCATCTGATAGATTACCGCCACCCATGGCCATCTATAACACATGACGGGTTAGAGATGCGTTGCTAACCATGAAAAGTGGGCTCCGGATATCTCATACCACACTCACATAACGAAACGCGGGATTATAACACTTCCATTTCATGCCAATCTTCTGTGAGGTCGTGGTACTTCCCCGGATGAACCTACCAATAGCAAAAACAGAAGGTGCTGCGTTGCCCTACTACATTAAAAATATATAAATAATATTAGATAACTATCGAATAGTAACTGCTAAAACTAGTAACTGTTAACTCGCTGCCTACCACGACATGACTCATAGTCAAATTATTTACGAGATGACCTTCGTATTGAACTCCAACCGCTTCGACATCATGGAGGTCAGAAAATCTAAAGTTAAACCGTAGACTATTGTCAAAAAGTCCAAAATTTAACGATCGAATGGCTACAGCCCGTGCCCTGCGAAGCGGATAACTCACGGCCTGTTGGCTACTCGCGTCCAGGTCTTTTCGCTCCTTCAACGAGCCGCCGAGTAGACGCTGGATCTACGTTCACATCGCAATCACATGCTCAGGAATTGAATAATAATAATAATAAAAAAGCAGACAAATTAAGAAATAAAAAGATACACAAAGAAGTATGCCGACTGGAAAGTAGAAGGCTCGGTGCACCAAAGAGGTTCCCAGTTTCCTTTGTAAGTCTACGTGTGCGGTAAGCTATGTCTATGGTCTATTTAGTTTCTAATTCAAACTAAGACAGTGCAAATTAACTAAGGCATAAGGCTTCTAACCTAAATGATTAAATAATAAAACAATTCAATAGAAACTGATGGAAAACAGATTTAGGATGGTGGTTGTGTGATGATCACTGACTTAAATTTAAAATGTAAAATATTTGATATAGCCTTAGCAAATATAGTTAGTTCTATACGTTATATCTCAAATAAAGCATTTAATTCACTGTGCTAAATTCTTGAATATTTCGTTAACACTGACTTGACGCTTTCTCTATCCTTTTTTTCTTAAACAAATTTTTCTGTTGTTAATAGTTTTCGCAGTGACTTCTAGAATAAGAGCGTTGATTTAAAAATGAATCATTATTTCATTACAAAGTAATTTACTATGAAACTGATAGTCTGGTAGAAATCAATTGACATTGTACCAGGAATCCATGGAAAGAATACATTCCATACATATGTACTATTATCTAGTATACAGTCAAAGCGAGAAATATTAGCAATACTCACGACTAGAAACTCATTCTTATCTACTCTCTGGTTGCCGTCCGTGTCGAACATGTTGAATGCTATTTGGAAGCCGGATGCCGGTTCTGTTGGAGGAATGGGTCAGCTTATAGATTCTCCTGACTCGAGATCTAGGAACGTGGGTTTGTGTCTATTTTTTTATGTGAAAAGTTGCCAAGCGAGCAGGCGGTTCACCTGATGTTAAGTGAATACCACCGCCCATGGACATCTGCTACCCCCGAGAGTTGAAAATGCGTTGACAGTATTTTGAACTACCTCACTCACCAAACGAAACGCGAAAGTATTATACTTCCATTTGACGCCGGTCTTCTGTGACGTCGTGGTACTTATCCAGACGAGCCTGCCCATTCGTGCAACAGTCGAGGCTGCTGCGTGGCCCTGCCACAGCTAATTTTTTAATATGCAAACATCGAATATCCTTTGCACCATTCGCTCTTGTTGTCTTAGGGGATTCACCAGGGATTAATGCTATGCCTTCCAGCCTTTGATAATGACATCTAAGAATACGTGTCAAAGAAGTTGGAAGTTTTAAAATTTCACTTTAATATTTCAATAATTATGGGTGAATATATTATATATTATCTTGTATATTTTAGTACCAAAATGGGATGTTTTGACCTTTTAGGTATGTTCTAATGGCAAAACTAGTATAGGACGTTTGTCTTGTATTGACTTTCGGTGGAAAAAAAAGAAGATCCGTTGCATAGTTTTAAAGTTCTAAGCATACTCAGGGACGGACAGACAGACAGCGGGACGACTTTATTTTATACTATGTAGTGATTTCCCTGACCTTATGGCCAGATCAGCGCCCGCATTGGCCATAAACTTAAAACACACCAAAGATGTTGCAGGCGTATTGAACCTTCGGCATTTCAGTTACCTCAACGGTAAAAACACAATGGCATAGGAACTGTTACTTTACGCCGATCTTTTCTATCCCCGGTCAAGCTGTCTTGTTCGTGCATACACATAGATTACATTTAGCTAACAGCTGGTGTTAGCTATGTAAGTTGAGTATATGTTTTGTCAACTGTTGTTGCCCTAGCATAGTCAAAAAGTAATGTTAAAGTTAAACTTACTTGTAAGTATCGACAACAGAAACAGGTACTCTGTGTAGGAAATTATACCTGAAATAACATATTTAATATTGAAATCTTGATTAATTTTCGTGCACAATGTAGATAAAACAACAAAAAGCTATGGAATTATAATCTTATATCTAGCTCCGTATTTGTCAGAGTAGAGCTCAGATACAATAGCACAAAGCCGTTATTATATTAGTAAAATACGTAAGATGAAACATGCGGATGTTACACATAACATTTATCGCAGTACCCGGACAGACCTGCCCATTCGTGCAACGGCGAAGACTGTTGCGTGGCTCTACCACCAATAACTATCGATTTTTTAATGTCAGAAGGTGGCAAGCGGGCTAGCGGTTCGCCTGATGTTAAGTGATAATCGCACATCTGCAACAACCGTAGGGTTGCAGAGGCGATGCCACCGTTTGACAAAGTGACCTAATAAAGTCGATTATCGTATGACAGCTATTACGGAGTCGGGGTTATATCTCACCCTTGTCCCTCATGTTGCGGAACATCTGCGGGGATCCCTTCTTCAGCGGTGGGGTCTGGTCACGGAGCTGCTCGATCTCCTTTACGGTGAGTATGCGCCGTTTCAGCCGAGCTGGTGTTAGAACGAACGGCTTAAGTTAAGCTTTAACATAAAAAGAATCAAAATGCAAAATCTAAATCATTTATTCATCGACATTTGATCTATCGACAATCTTTTTTTTTAAATCTCGCACCGTTTCTTGATGAGGTTCCTCTAACGGAGAAGAAACAGGCAAAAGAAACTCCGTAGGTATAGGTATTTTTGTAATTGATTTTCTTAAAACATTATAATATTATACAACTGATTTGTTTTCTATTAGAAATAGCTTGGGAGCGATTAACTCATTTCCAGGGGATATTTTCATTAATGTATACATTTATATTATAATAATTAATCATAAGCTTCTTAAACTAGTTAATAAGTATGCTTTGCTCAATATTTATAGTATTTGGTTTGTCTTATCTAGAACTTTCTAGCACACCAGCCACCATCACACCAGACGGAACACAGTCGGTGTAAGCGAGCTGGACTACTCACGTCTCGGCTCCTGCTCCACTACGGACTCTAAAAAGTCCTGCGGGGTCATGTAGAGTTGCCCTCCGTGCTCCACGCTCGCGAACTTTATGAAGCGGCGCTCCCGTGACGTCAGCTTCACCGACTTCACCAGCTCCTCGGGTTGCTGTGGCGACAAAGATCGATCATTCAATGACTCGGTTCAAAGTCTAAGTTGAAATTTCTTCATCAATACTAGCCCCGGCTTCGCACGGATGCAATTCTGAATGTTTGTTTTCGACATCGCATTAGAAACTTCTAAAACTATCAGTGTTTCTCTACTATGTTAGGCATGAATTACATATACATATAAACCTTCCTCTTGAATCACTCTATCTATTAAAGAGAACTGCATCAAGATCCGTTACGTAGTTTTAAAGATCTAAGCATATATAGGGATGGACAGACAGCGGGACGAATTTGTTTTATACTATGTAATAATGATAATCTTATTTTAAGCTTATTGAACGTTTAAAAATTACCATCGTTTCACTAATTTAGTCCCGCTCAGAGAAGAGCCGTCAAGAAACTCTGCGGTCTTGTTACCTTTTTTTTTTAAATGATGCACACAAAATTTGTTAAGTACATAATCAGCAGCATATAGCAAGAGTCATTTCCACACATCCTTGTTTGGTTACTGCACGGGTCTAGTGTTTGAGCTAGTGATTATTGTACCGTTTCTGGGTGTCTATGTGCAGCTTTTGGACGGGAAACGTTCCTGATGTCCCAATACTTATAGAATAATCGTATGTAACCGTGATTTGCGTACCGTTGGCGGTTTATGTCATTTATGTGACAAACGTTTTATTAAAATCCACTTTACAGATTTCATTTCCCTGTTCGCATTTGAAGACTCAGGTGTTTAGCATCTCGATGGTACTATTAATCGAAGCAACCGTTTGATTAGAAAAAAATCATTTAAAACAGATTTTTTTTTATAACATTGCCCTTACTTTAGAATAACATTATCCTGTGTTGTAAGGACGTTTTTACATATATACAATTTTAAACGGTGGTAGGGCCACGCAGCAGCCTCGGCTGTTGCACGAATGGGCTGGCTAGTCCGGGTCAGTACCACGACCTCACAGAAGACCGGCGTAAAGTGGGAGTATGATACTTTCGCGTTTCGTCTGGTGAGTGAGGTAGCCGGAGCCCAATTTTCAAAAGGTTGTCAACGCATCTACAGCCCTCGGGTGTAGCGAATGTCCATGGGCGGCGGTATTCACTTAACATCAGGTGAACCGTCTGCTCGCTTGGCAACTTTTCACATATGCGAAACCAGATGCGAAAAAATTACCTGTGGGTCACACAAATAGCTGTCCCGTGTGGGGGTCGAACCCAGGACACCCGACGACGAGGCCAAAACCTTGGCAACTGTGCCACGGAGTCATATTTACGTGAGAAGGTTAAGTTTTATGTTGTTGAATAAGCCTAAATTGAACAAAGCGCCATTGATCATGTCTTTAATAATGCGAGGAAATGTTTTTAATCCGAAAGAAAAAAGTGGGAATTTATTATTATTACAACATGTTATACGTATTTAAAAAAAAAGAAACATCGAAATTCGCCAGCTTTCTTTTCGAGTTAACAGAAAATGGAGCATCAAAGCCGAGTGAAATTAAATATGTACGAGTAACATCAAACATTGTTCGAGAATTTTCAGGGTCTCGGGTCAGATACGAAATTATTCCCGCTTTGATGTTCTAAGCCTCGGACCTCTGCTGCCGTTTTATTCTCCATCGTTATGTTAATTATTCAACAGGGCTTGTTTCAGCGACGGGTTTTGGTAAAAGGTCTTTGACCCGGAGTTCAAATGAGATTAATTGAATGGGCTTCTTAAAAATTCCTTATTCCAGTCAGGATTGGGGATTTTACTGCGAAATATATTTACTTATTTCTCATAGCTTACCATAGCATCAGTTGATAATATCAGATTAGTGGAGTGTTGTATTTAAGATGTAGGTATGAATATTCTATCCGTAACTGTTTTGAAAACGTAATATTTAAAAATCTGTTCCGTTACTACTCCTTAGTTAGTACTGTTGTTGGGATGCTTATTCAATTTTTCAAGCAAACCTGATTGTAGTAGACGCGGCGAAATAAGAGGTCAAAATCCGAAATGACAGATGAATCCGAGACGACACTCAAGTTACCGAGCCTAAATTAAAATGACAATACGTCTGAAAGTTAAGAGAGGCGGAGTGATTTAAAACCATTCCGAATTTCCAACTGTGACATACGAACACACGTGGTTTTGTGTTACGTAACTCATTAAGGCCGCGACGCTCTCACGAGCGGAGCGGAAAACAGTTTTCTATATTTGTTCTCAATGAGATTGACAATTCCGTCAACACCACTGGTGTATCTAAAAATAGGGAAAACTCAAAATCGATTAATTGTGTAACGATGAAAAAGAATCGGTTAATTATTGTAAACTAAAAATCGGAATCGATATGAAGTGCATGGGGATCAAATAATACTATAGGGGACTGTTATTGTTAAAACTGTCTGTATGACACGATGTACGGCGACGGGCTCGCAACTAAGTAAAGCAAAGCATCAGTATATTAATGCCACTGCTTGTCAAAGTTGTTTCGCAACTGTTGAGTTTCTTGCCGGTCTCTTCTCAACAGAAACCGCTTTCCGAACCGGTGGTACCTTACGAACCTATACACATAATCTTTGATGTAAAATTTGACGATTCATAAGAGCGCGCAAGCGTCTATTTGAATAAATATATTTTTGATTTTGATTTGATTTTGAAAGACCTCCACTGTACAAAGGGCGGCAGAGAGTTTTAGGAAATAGTGCAAAACTGCCACCCCACTGCCAATTGGCAGACTTGACATATCTTCACAACAGTTCTTTTTAATTATATCCAAAATAAGCAGGTTTCATCACGATCTTTTAATTCACTGCTAAGCATGTCATGTCAAAATTTATTACTTTATGGGTGATTGTGCCAGGATTTGAGCCTAGTTGCCTGAGTATAATGAATTGTAAGCGAACGCCCGGCCACTGCTCCCAACTCATCGATTTAATAAGCTCTCATTTAAAACGAGTACTTTCTTTTAAAGCCAATGGGGTATTAAAAAGACGTTAGTTTAACTATAACTGTGCCAACAAATCACTTAAGGTTTTGTTACGCTTATGTTATATATTTCTAAGTACTGTCATTTTCGTTTAAAATAATTTGCACATTTAGAATTTTATTAGAGGTTATTTAGAATTTTTTTTTTAGAAGACAGTCAAAGGAGGTTATTATATGTGCTATTTAGCAATATAGAAACGCTTGGCTTCAGCGTCTCGCATCTTGAGATCGATTTCTCCACGGGAAATTACTTAAACTATAGATAACTGAAACACATTATGTGAACGCACAAAAAAACTACACTATTTTTATTTTAACAATAGGATATATTACCACCTATTTTTCACCCGACTTCCAAAGGAGGTTATCAATTTGCCAGTACTTATTTTGTTTGTTACAACAAAACTCCTCATCATTTATGAACCGCTTATACAAATTATTCTTTCCATTCGGTTCGCTTTAGTTCCCGTGTTATTTTATTGGTCGAAATCAGATACAACGTGTATAGTGAGTGAGATATATGAAGTCGGCTTTTTTGTCAATAAAAATAATTTACTTTTTGTTTTTAAATCAAGTCGAAACACGCAGTTTCCGTCTTTTGTTCAGCCCGCCGTCGCTAGTCACCGCGTCCCCGCCTTAATGGGCGACAAAGATAAGGCGTTACGAGAATAGACCGCGTTGGACGAAGCTATTAGCCGGTCTTTCTTCGTGCTTTCCTTCCGAATATTATTTCGGAGGCAGGGGAATGCGGAACGGGAGTCCCTTCCGCGTGTCGGCTTTCTTTTTTTTTGCCAGAGTTTTCTTTGTTGCCGTGTGCCCGTGTGTGTTCGTGCCGTTTCGACCCTTTCCACTTTCGGTCGTGTATGCTGTTCCCAGTGGGGCGCCCTGGCCTCGAATTCCGCTGGGGCGAGAAAGCAATTCGGCTTTAAATAGCAGAGGAAGGGGAACCAGCATTGTTACAGACACCGTATAAGGCCCCCAAGTCATGGATGTCATTAAGATCCTTACATCCGAGTATAGTAGAACTGTATGTGACCGTAGTAAAGTTATAAGCGTTATCGCGTATGGCTGCGCATGTTGTAACGGCAGGTGGAACACAATGAAAGGAATGAACAAATTATCTATTACTGTTGTATTTGTACGTTGAAAACATTTATAAGTATTTACTACATTACAATAGAATTAATGAGTTGAACGTTTACACACTGTCCGCCAAAAATGTGCATATACAATATGCTGCGATATCATTGCTACACGAAACAATGTTTGAGTACGAACCTTCATACTTGTATATCATCGAAAGCGAAGTAAAAACAAATCCTTTCGAGGCTTTAATTTTTTTTTCAAAACATTTCTTTGCTTTTAACATGATCGTAATCATTCCCAACTTTTACATATCGACGTAGACAACGTAGATATGTACTTACTTATAAATAATTAATTTTTATTTTCTACCCTAAAAATGTACGAACCCATCTACCCTAGAAACCTTCGTTCTAATCAAATGATAATTACTTTGTGTACGTATAGGTTATATATTATATATAATACTCAAAGTTAGTACTATTTCAATTACGAATAAACTTTTTAATATAGCAACAGATTGAAAAGTCGGAGTTCTCTTTTTTCAGCTTCCTCATGATAATTTCTTACATTTACGCTCATATCAAATGCTATATTTACGGATTTAGATTTTCATTTAGACATCTACAGCGTCAGTATGTATATGTTCCGTGGTCATTAACGCTGGAAAGTATTAGAAACGCCGGGCGTTAAAATTAGAAACAAACTCGATACCTCATTTCGTAAGAGCCTTCTCGTTCTTTTCATTCATTCATTCACTCTCTGGGGTCAGCGTTAGGCCACGGCATGACAACCATCAACGCATACCGCTCCACAGTCGGCTAGTAAATCACGGGGGAACTATATCTTTTATCGGAGCGATAAATCCCGACCGCGTCTAGTTCCTTAAACAATCGTTTAGCAGCAAATATGGCGGTAAATAAGCCCCGTTCGCTTGGTCTGTAAATCTTCGG